TAGAATGCTGTTGAAGTTTTTGAGTTATATATTTTTACTTTAAAACACTATTACTAAAAGCAATACAAGAATAACAGTATCACAGAGTTTATACACCCTACATATTTATAGAGACTTCAATAGGTGGATAGATGGGATAAAAATAAATTATATGTTGCTATGTAAGCATGACATGGAATATTTTGGCATTATTTGTTGGAGCATAAATGCACCCGTCTGTAAAAAAGATGAAATAATTTTGCCTCAGTCAATCTTTGCCACAAAATCAACTTTAAAAAAGTATAACAGCCGAGTATAAAACCATGAAATAAAAACATTTTTATTATGATCTAGATTGCGTTTTCATAAGTACCCAGAAAAACCACTCGATTTACTCTCCATACTTTACCAGAGGGCACTTAACTGCGGGAAGATCTTACACTTACAGGAAGTTTCTCTTTCTGAATTTTCCCTTAGATGTCCTCCAGATCAAATCAAGTTAAAAAATAACAAGTGAATGCAAAATAATACGACCATCAGCAGTAAAGAATGCAGCAGGTCCCATGCTCAGTTTGGCCAAGCAGATAAGCAAACGGTTTTCTTTCTGCTGATCGGCAGCCCGCCTGTGAAGGTAGGTGTTTGTAACTCGCTCATTCATAGAAACTGCAGAAGGTTTAGTCAGAAAGTAAAAAAACAAGCGCAAAACAGCTCTAACTAATAAGGCAATATGATTATCTTCTTAGTAAACATCTGAGAAGCATAGTAGATACAAATGCGCTGGCAATATTTTTACGACTATTTTGTTTATAAAGCACAAAATGTGCACACTTGCAAAATAAAGTTATTTAAGTCAGCGTATTAATTCAAGAAGTCACAATTTCAAAGTGTTTTATTTAGCAGCAAAAAAGATTCAAGAGCATGCTAGCTGGTTAGCCTAGCACGAGCAATGAAATGTGTTTATATTTCGGACAGGATGTGGCGGCTGCCTGCAAAATAAACATTATTCTATAGTTTGCAACTGTCCTCAAAAACGTGACACACACTGAACTGAAACAACTAATGAAAGGCCAATTAAAAACACTCACCCATCACCGCTTTCCATTCTGTGGATTGCAAAATTTTAAACTAGCTTGTTGCTAACGCTAAGGGTTGGCTACAAAGAGTAGCGCATGCTGTGGTTGCCGGGGCACCCGAGGTGGGCGGTGCTGCTTGTCAAAAAAGCGCTCCAAATGATATCACTTCCAGTCAGAAAAGACAGGCTGTTAAAATTAAAAGAATACTTTTACCCTTAATCTTTGCTGTCTTAATAGCTATTATCATCTAATGAGACTTGTTTTGTTAAATATCAGCATCTATTCCTTTTTTTTTTTTTTTTTGCATTTTCTAAATATTTTTGCATATTTACTAACTTGTTTTGCTTAGAAAATCCAGATTATTTTAGGAAATACGGTGCTTTCAAAGAATCCTTTTTATGCACATATTTGCCACTTCCAGTAATACCACTTAAAAGTTCTTCGTAGCACACGTACTTCATTTGAAGATTCAGAATAACCATTAGTTGAATCCAAGATAAAACCTCACAGGCACACAGAGAAAGTCACCAAACCACGATTCCAGGTGAGGAGTCTGAACCATTCTTTGGTCTCCATCATTCCTCTGTGTCGTCCTCCTGCTCCTCCATGTAGGTGGACACAGAAACAGCACTGTAAGGGTCCAGCACCAGGTGAGCACAGCGAACAATGGTCACAAGCAAAAAGAAGCAAAGAAGGAAGAAAAAGAAGAGGGCAAAACCAAGATCCACATCTACTTCAAATCCCCTCAGAGGACCAACTGAAGGGTCCATGTTAAAAAAAATTGCACAAAATCCAAAAATGTGTTTCTACATCTCATCTGATTCCAGAAACAAAGGATCCAGAAAAGTTTGATATCATTTCACCTCCGCTTTGTTTATCACCATTGCTAACCTAAGCTGATTTCTTTTTATTGTCCAGTTCTTTTCTGCTGTTTCGCCTTTTTTTTCCTCCAATGAGCCAAACACAGGCACCCTTGTTTGGCACCTGTGGTCTCCTTGAATAGTTAATAGGGAGTTTGGTAACAAACAGGTCATTCCGGTGACTAGAACTCTCACGTATCTGTGTAGAACAGAAAAATTCAGAAAACTTGTTACATCTGCCTTTGAATTGCCTGAAAATGTAAGCTTTTACTGTGTTGTGCACACTCTGAAGTCATGCCAGTTTGCTTAAAATAAATATGAAACAGTTCACACACAGTTCTGCTCCAATGAACAACACTTAGAATTATTCCATGACAAAAATGTTCTAAAAAAGTAGGAAGTGAAATGACAAAGAAGAAAAAAGGTTAGAGAAGAAAGAGGATATGATGCTTTTGCTGTAATCTAGTTAAGAGGGCTTGGAAACTGATCCTGAGTTAAAAAAAACAAACAAACAGTGCAGGTTACCTAATGAATGCACAGGCTAAAAATGTGGTGAGTATATTCAAATAAAACTAAATACAGTAAAATAGGACAAAAGGATGGGAAGCATTTGTGTTAAACATGATTCAAGTATATATGCTACATATTAAATGAGATTTAAGTGTCCATGAGTGTCTTAAAATATCACATTTGTCTGTTGTTATCCCTAAGTGGTGAAAAATTAAGATGGAAACTGACCAGTACTACTGTTACATCTCCAGAACTTCACAAATAAGCAGATAATTATGTAGTTTAGTTTGTGTTCCTTCACTTTTTTCACTACATTTTTACCACTTAAATACTTCTGCAGAAGTCAAATGCTATTTCCTTCCAGGCCTCAAACAATCCTTCTTCCATCTCAACCTAACTCACAGGATAAAAGTATTTTTTTTTTACATGTATTTGTAAGGAATATTCCATTTTTGTCAGTTCAATACTAGTTTTTATGATTAAATAACTTGGAAAGGCACCTGAGCTCAAAAGCTTTCAATAAATGACAGATCTCCCTCATTTAATCATTCAACGCCATTAGCATTGTCCTTTCAGCACATGACCTGCTGCGCACTAGAAGAGCTAATTATTTTCCTACTGTCTGTATTCTTCAACATATAAGCAGAAAGTTTTGCAGACTGTTTTACTTTTTTAATGTTATTTTTTTTTCTCTCCACACTGCTTAGTTAGCATGTTACTGTAGATCAACATGCTAATCCTAACCTAGCGGCTATCGTTAGTATTTCAACTAGCTTTAGCACAAGCTAAACCGTCACCTTACAACTTAGCTTTGCTAACTATTTTCCGCATGAATTTCTAATACTTTTTGTGTGGGATTTTTGCAATGACTGAAATACTTCCCCACTGGTGGTATGGCCTTTCCTGTTTTTATCCAGTTTTCATTTTGTGTCATTATTTTTTTGTTATTTTTAAGTCATGAGGCTGAGGCAGCAAGTGATTTAACATGTTGTTGCTAGGCAACTAAAGACCAAGTTAGATGATACCACACACCTTGCTTAAGTCGCTGTAAGAGTTGAGCCACTAAAGCTTTTCCTCTGCCTACATCTCCCAGAATGCTGTGCGGTTCTCCATCACATCTATCACAATATAGATTACTGATTTATTGATCAACCCTATGTCTTAGCTACTTGCTTGGTTTGAATTTGATTATGCAAAGCTTACATATTCTTAATTAAGTTTTTAAGAGCAGTTTTCCTTTTATTTTTATGTGAATTGTGCTACGCTACATCTCCATCTCTCTAAATATGTATAAACTTGCTTTTACAAAACATTTTGTGAAAATGTGGTGCTCAAAAAGAACAAAAACCACCAAGCCCTTCGGTCTTGACAATATAACAATTTAATACAAAAAAACAAATATTTCTCTTAAAATTTCATAAACATATACAGTATATTTATATATTTGTGTTTCTAAGAGTGAAAAATAAACCTGGATACAGAATAATCAACTTTGAACACACAAAAAAAAAACATCAAAGAACAAACACAAATCACCAACATGCCATCCTTTGGAAGATCAGAAAACACTCAATTATCTACACTGCACTTACATAGTCTGCTATTACAAGTGTGTGAATGTTACACACAGACATGGAAAAATAAAACACTTAACCTCAAAGTCAACATTTAAAAAAAATGAAAGATCTTTATCTCACGTTGCTCCACTGCGAAAGCTGTCCAGAACACATCCTGTTGGCAAAAGTTGAGTCCTCACCCAAACATCGTGAAAAAAAGAGAAAAAACACTGAGGCAGAAAAAAATAACCTGTTTGTACATTCTCACATGTAGGTCCACTTGCTTGAATACCCTGATCTAACCGTAAAACATCAACGCGAGAGAAGCGACGAAGAGCTCAATAAAATACTCAAGAAGCATAATTAAAATCAGAAGATTACAATCACATCTCTGCATCTTAAAACATTAAAAAGAAAGGTAAAAATGGCTTTAAAAATACATAGATCCTGTCTGTCAATTATTGCTGCTGATTATTTTTTTACATATACATTTCTTTTACAAAAGGAGTACAAAAAGCCCACAAGTGTAGGGTAAATGACGCAAGGCAGATACCCAGCAACCTTTTGTTAATTATGCATAAATCTTACAAACTCGCACACATGGGGGCTGTAGTCGTGTATCTGTGAGGAAAGATGGGAAACAAGCGTGCTGCTGAATAAAAGATATGCTGCTGTGCACATGTGTTGTCAAAGTAACTCGATGGGTAAAGAAACTTTTATAGGTGAAGTCAGCCACGTATACGTTACATTACATATAAATCTGCAGAGAATTTAACGCTGTAAATCATGCAAATACATGCTGTGGATTCATAATGAATTGTAAAATATCTAATTAAATGAACACATATATATCTCCCTGCTATTTTCCAAGGTTTTAAATCATTCTCTGAAATACTTAGTATACCTGCTAAGGAGTAAAATAGGAAAATATTCTAGTAATCCTGAGAAAACCCACTGACATGTTGCAAAAAAAGGCCATTTTATCTGTGTGTGTGTGTTTTCAACGAGTGGCAGTGTGTGTGTGTTTTGTTTTTTTTTTCATTTTTTTGTGCAGTCCATCCATGTGTGGTGGTGCGATTGTGCGTTTTATCATATCTTTCTATTCATACACACTGATATCACACATCTACAACACCTGTATGGAGCTTTGGGTAGTGCTAGCTGCAGCAATCTCTTACAATGACTGGAATATTGTGAAAATAATATCTCTGTTTTGTTATGTTATTCTTTCACTTTCTACTTGATTTAGGTGCAGTAAAATATCCCTTCATCTTTACCTGACTTACAGCGAGACCACAGAAAGTGAGGGAAGACTGCCATTATGACAAGGAGGAGGAGGAGGAGGAGGAAGAGTAAGAGTTCAGGAGCAGAAGATGTGAAGGAAAGATTCACCCGGCAGAGGAAGAAGAGAGGCGCAGCGCTGGTCACTCGTTGTACGGGGGGTAGATGGCGATCTCAAAGTCGTCACTGTTAAAGGAGGCAGGCTGGTCTAGCATAGACAACACATCCTAAAACCAAACAAGTAAACAAACAAACAGAAGAGTGACATTATTTCAAGAGACAACAGAAAAGAGGGAGGTTTGTAACATAAAGTAAGTTCTCATTGCTCACAGGAAACATGTCCTGCTGGTTTCCCTGAGCGTGAGGATGCTGCTCTCTGTTGTTCTGAGGATGCTGCTGCTGCTGCTGGCCCTGCCACTGAGGCCACACCGCCTCCGTCGCTCGAGGTGGAAACTGGCCTCCAGACTGGGAAGTGTCTAAGAGCAGAGCACAGACTGGTGAGGCTGGAGAGCGTCGCACACAAAAACGGCTCCGTTCATGCACCACAATAAAGATGGTGGTAAAACTCTAACTGAGGTGGATGGAAGAGTAAAGAAATAAACCTGATGCAATTAGAAATAAATCAATTGATCACATGATAAATTAAAACGAGCTCAATACTTCCTAAAGTCCTAATTGGTAGAAAATTTGTTTACATATTTCATAATCCATTACATTATGGTAAAATTTCCATTTTATTTGTGTGTTTTTTTTAGTTTGGATATTTAAAACATCTTCCAGTTTCAGTGTTAATTGTTTTTTCTCTTCTTAAAGAGGGTGAACTTGCATAATTATCCCGTTGCGATATTACTTGAAAATGTTCACAAAATGACAATATTGTCATTAGTAAAAGTAATTTCTAAGAATTTATCGCCCCACAAAATTTGTAATTGTGACAGGCCTATAAGGTTTTATAATCGGAATAGTCATAAGTAGTAAAAAAAAAATGTTTATTTGTCTAATTTCGATGCTCTCATGAGTTGCCACTAGTTTCTGTGACCTACCGTAGCCGTTGGTGTTGAGGCTGGTGCGAGGGTTCATCTGAGGGTAGTTTGTGCCGTTGGTGGGGGTGGGAGCGGCACCGGTGGGCATCTGGCTGAAGGTGTTAGAGGAGCCGCCGCCGAATCCTCCGATTGGAGGAAACTGCTGAGACATCGTCTTTGCTGCCTGCGGAGCAACCTGCTGGTTAGAGCAGAAACGGGCCGCTTTGGTCAACGGGATTCCCACAAACACTTCAGGTGAGATTTCAAATTTTTCCAGAACCACACATTGGAGATAAAAACAACACAAATGACCTAACGAAGACATTTCAATTCACTACAATGTGATATGATTTATTACTGTTATTAATAATGTGTTGTGACAACATCCTACATTGTATATTAGGGACAAGGAAAACTAAATAAAAAAAAGACATGTTTTGAAATGTCTCACACACTCCATACACCTGACTGCTATGAAAACTAAACACAAATTTAACAAAAAAGTTCCCCCAATTCCAATAATGTTGTTCAAAGCATTCCTATAAGCAAATACACAAATTAATATTCAAAATAAAACATGTTATTGCTGCGTTTTCGAGCATTTATCAAATAGATTTAACCTGAAATGAGAAAAGTTTAATCTGATTTACCTTCAGACAGTGAGAAAAAAAAAATATTTTTATTAGATGTATGAAAATAAATGGTTTATTTTGGTGAGAAATACTTTCCAATTTTAGCTTTTTAATCAAACGTTAGTCTGGACTTTATTGCAAAACTGCGTAGTTCGAATATGAAGCACTTTAAGGACTTAAATACAGAAATCAAGAACTTCCCAAGCCTTGAAAACAACCAATTGAAATTCAAGAATTTTCAGGAATTTCAAGCCCTCGTATGAATGAATAAATACAAGAAACCAATTAAAGTCTAAAGTTATGAAACAAAACGAGGAAGAAGAGAAAGCTGCTGGGTTACCTGGTTACTGAACTGCGGCCTGGCTGCAGCAGGTCCGGGGCCGGGCCATCCTCCTGGCGGTCCGTGGAGGGGGCCGTTAGTACTTGATGGGGTAACAGGCTGCGGGGCGCCATTTTGGCGAGACATGTGAGGCAGCATCTGCGGTGCCGAGTGTGCTGGCTGTGTCATCTGCATAGCGACTGGTCTGCAAAGACAATAAGCAGGATTGAGAACCCTGGAACAGTGACTTCCTTAAAACATAAAAATAATCATCTATAATAATGTGCTTACTTATGTTTTACAAGGTATGGCGACACAGTGGCAGTTCTTACAATATCGGTGCAGCTGCCGCTGGGGAGGATAAACACGTAAAATTGTCTTTAATCTCAGAGAGCAGAAGCCGCCAACTCTCCATTGACTTCACATGCATGAAGAAGATGTTCGTCGTTACTGATGCTAACAGAGATAAAACAGATGGAGCGTCCTATCTGCAGAGTCTCATCACAGAAACAGCTCTCTCACACAGTGTGACGTTGCCTCTGCATCTCATATAAAAAGCTAATTACCACAGAAAGGTTTAGCTACAATGATTTAACAATTAAATAGGAAATCGGAGTTTTTCTTGCTGAATTACAAAGTTAGAGCTGAGACGTTTGTTAGCTTGAAAGAATCTTACGAGAAACATTTTGGAAAATAGTGTTTGCATTTTTAGGGGTGCAAAAAGAAATAATGGCGCGTACAAAAACTTCATAAGAAATTCATGTTTGGAAAGCGGCCTCATAAACTAGTCGGTGAAGCTGTAATTGTCATCATCCGTATTAGTTTGAGCTGTTTTTGTTGCTTTTACGACTCATTTCATCCTTAAAACCAAACACTTCTAACATAATAGCCACCTCTCATTTGTAAATAATCTGTCTCAACGCTCAAATACACATGAACATTTTGTACATTTTTAAATTAAGCTCACTTGCACATTCCTCTGAACTGGAGTACACCTTTTTTTTTTTTTATAACTATACAGTTTTAATGTTGAGATTTTGCCCTTACTTTACAGTATTTTTATTCTTTATTCTGTTTCCTTGTGTCACTATATTTGCTCTGTTTGTCACTTTGCTGCTGTTGTACAGAAATATTTTTACTTTATTCTTTTTAGCCTGTTCTGCTGTCTGCTACACATTATTTCTCATTTCTAAGCTGCTTTGGGTAAAAACCTCCACTAGATCAACAAGCATGAGCAAAGGCACACTAGCAGAACTAACAGCTTTCCTTGCAAATGAGCCAATTTCAAACAAAGAGCCAAGCCCAGTTCACTCTTATGTGTGCAGATGTCCAGACATGAAAACTGTCTGGCAGGTTAAAACCCAATCAGTCTAATAAATCTTTCCACAGCACATTCACAGGAAACAATGCGTTTTCAGACACCAGGTCGTTTGCAAAGCTCCCATTAGGCAAAAGGCAAGCAGTTAATTTTCTGGAGGTTGAGAACAAAATGTGCACGCAAACACACTTGTTTATACAAAAGACACCCCACCTGTATGAGTCATTGGAGCGGCCAGCAGAAAAGTTGTTTGTGTAAATCTGAGTGGAAGGCGTCGAGTTGGTCGGCATGCCCTTGGTCTGATCTGGCCCTGGGAAGATGGGCGGGTAGATCTCCTGCTTCTCTATGGTTTTGCCGTGGTCCGGCCCCACCGCTGCCACTGGCTGCACCGGCATCTGAAACAACAAGATAACCACAAAAAGTTAAAAAATGGGCTTAAAAATGGGGATGAAAATGTTAGACTGAATCAAAATGTGACTATTTATGGTGACAAATATTTAAATGACACATTAAATTGCAATTTTTCTATTAAGGTTATTAATGTTTCTTTAATTTATTTTGAATAAACAATCAAAAATGATTTGGTAGTAAATCTTAAATCTCTGGTCTAAATCTAGCAGACTAGGAAACCTTTGAACCAATCATCCCGCTGCATCGACCAAAGCCAATTTTACACTTGTTAAATGATAACAGGAATTCAGACTGACAAATATGGTTAGCTCTGAATTTTTGTCTAAAATTTGCATGCAATGTTCATAGTTTTGAAAGGTGACACTCCACAAGAAGAACACTGCACAAGTCAACTTGTAGTTAAAAAATACAAAAATAAAAGTTGCACTCTTCAAGGTAAATGTGTCTGTTTTAAATATTCAAGGATTTTTTGCAAAATGAGTGTTATATTTTTGTTTAATAGTCCGTGGCTGCGGAAATCTGCTTGCTCAGAGTGACTACAGGAGGCGGCCGTATCAGAGTCCAGAACCAGTTATCAGTTTGCCGAATCATCCGAGTTGTGACAGGGTTCCTTTATAGAGCACGGTGTTTTTCCATGACTCTTACTCAAACACGGTGACAACCCTCACTAGATGCTCAGGTCTAAACAGCCTTTTCAAACATTGTTTATTATAAACAGACTGATCAGTTCTGCCCGTTTTCAGCTCCTTTCAGCTGTTTTAGGGCGTCTTGTCACTTTAAATCCAAATAAGGTGTTGACAACTCAACGTTTACACTCTCACAGTGAAAATGGCTGCAAACAGATGCGCAGTTATACGTCTGTACATCTCTGAAAAGCAGAAGCGGACAAGGTTGAAGCAAGTGGGTTTTGGATGGTGAGTCAACAGCAAAACATTTGTCTTTTCCAGCAGCTATCGAACATCGCAAAGAGCAGAAAACCAAGCTGACCAAACATGCTGGAGTTCTAATTGGGTTGCTAGGTCACGGCGCAGTGATCTGATTGTGACTCTACGTTCAGGAGATTTTTGAAACTGATCACTTCCCAGACTCCAAAAAACAACTTATTACCAAAAAACGGCTTTTTTTTCTTTTCTTTTTAAGCACTTTGGCCATTTTTGGAAAGACCCAAAAGAACGTATAAAAACAGAAGCAAAATGTGAATTTAGTGTAATTGGTCTCCTTTTAGAAACAGCCCAGTAGAGGTGACGTTTCATCAGGCAATTGGAGACATTATTAATCAAACCAACCCTGTGTTGGAGGGGGATATTGGTGACATGTTGCGGAAACTGATTGAGAATTACAGCCGTCAGTGCTCCATACCTGTTGCTGGATACTGATTGGTCCCGCCTCATACATCCCGTCTCTTGTTGCCCCTCCCTCCAGGTCGGCCTGCTGCTGCTGCTGTTGTAGCTGTCTGAAAAACCAAACACAAAACAAGGACTTCTGATTGCTGTCCACCGAGAATTAACTCATTTGTTTTTTTTCCTTCCCTTCACTGGTGAGTGAGAAATCCCCAAACACCGCAACCCACCACCGGTAACCATAAACAATCACAGGAGAGGTGAAGAGAAAGTCTGTTAAACACATTTATAACTGAGGTTAGGGCTGGGCGATACGGCTTAAAAATAAAATCTGATTTCAATCATCCCTTCTGTGAGTTATGCAAAGGAATATAGTCATAATATTAGCAGAATAAAGATGCCATCTCATCAGAATGCCCTAAAATTACAAGAAAATAGTTGTTTTAATAAGAAAAAGCTTGGATAATTAATTTTAAGTTACTTTTTGTGTTAAAATTACAACTTCATTCTCGTAATATTTCAACTTTCGTGTCATTCGACTGTTCTTGTAACATTATGACTTTATTCTCATTAAAAAATAGCCTGAGCCTTATATTTTGTCAAAGAGTTGACTTGAATTTAAACTTGGCTGTAAAAAAAACGCTTGTCAAACAAGATGGCCAACCTTGCGTGTGCTGACATCACTCTGAATTATGGACACCCAATAAGTGGATTGGTGAAAAAAAATAAAAAAAATCCAGATTTTTCAAAACTTGAATCTTCAAAAAAAGCAAAAAATTTGATGAATCAATGAAATCGATTTATTGCCCAGCCCTAACTGAGATGCTACACCACTTCTATAAAAGGTTTGTCTGAGAACTACATATAAAGCTTGATAAGACATGCTGCTGCTTCTTTTTTTTTTTTTTTTTTTAAAAACTGAACTGAAGGAAGGGAGGAAGAGTCACCCGGAACGGAAAATGAGAAACCAAAAATTAGAAGAAGAACTTTAGCCTGCTAGAAACAGCTACAGACTCCCAGAAAGCAGCCGCCCCTCGTGCTCCCGTAAGGCGGGAGGAAAGGCTCTTCAGGCCCGATCTCACCTGGCGGCCATCGGGCCTGGGCTGAGCACAGCAGGATGGCCGTTTGGGCTGCTCTGACCCAGGGGCATTGGAGCCCCGGGGGAGGAGATGGGAGCGAGAGGGTCCTGGGTTGAGTTTCTGCTGCCCAACAATCGTTGTTGGGTGAAGAGCAGAAGTGTTGGGAGAGAATGGTCAGAGTTTGGTTTTTATCAAGACGTTTGAGTTTGAGGCTTAGGAGGAACTGGGGGACGGAGGGACATCGATACGCATCCAAACAAAGCAAACATTTCACAACAGCCGACATTTCATAACTTCCACTGTTTCACTATCTGTTCAGTCGAGTCATCTGGCAGCGCGCGTTACTCACTTGACGTTGACATTGGTACAGATGATGTACTCGATCTCCTCTGAAAAGGGGTTCTGGAAGGTGAAGGAGCTCGTTCTCATCAGCATCCATTCTCTGGTTTTGGCCCGGAACCGAAACATGACCGACAGAACCTGGCCTTTCAGCTTAACCACCTGAGGACGCAAACCCACAGAACCCAACCGTCACTCCATCCAACAGCAGAATCGTTTAAAAAACAAACAAAAAAATACTCATTCGTAAGAAATGAATTTTGTTTTATTGTCATTTTTAAACGCAAATTAGAAATCTGCTGAAAAGTAAATGTCATTAACTCGATCCAAAAGGAGAACTTCCTCAAGATGCAATACTTACACTGTGACATATGTTAAACATTCATTTCAGTTTCATGAGTACAGCCACTTAAAATCCAACATTTTGTTTCTTGAAAAAAAACAAGTAAAAACAAAACCAATAGAAAAGGATGTTTAAGAAAAAAGTGTGCATCTTTTATATTTTAGTCCACATCATGATCATGAATGCCCTCAAAAGTCCAGTTTTGGCAGAATATATTGATAAAACTATTAATAAATAACTGTCTCTGTAGTCAATGAAATTATATAGTATTGAAAATCTTATCAAATTGATGTAATTTGACTGTAAACAGACAAAAATAATCTTTAATCGCACAACTTATCATGAAGGTTCTGTTTATGTGGCTCCTTCAGAGTCTAGAGGACCTCATAAAAACTTATGGTGGGCCGGATTTGGCCCCCGGGCCTCGAGTTTGACTCGTGTTTTAGACGCAGCGGTCCTTATAAAAGAAAAACACTTTTTTTCTTCCACTCAACTTTCCATTTGCATGTACTTAAAGACTCTTCTGTGACAGCCTCTGCAGCTTTTCCTCCTTTTGGGAGGGGGTCAGTGACACAGTAGCCGAATCAGCATTCTTCCCCATGACTTCATTATGTCTGTATGAAAGAAAATCCCCTTTTCTTTTTTTATTGGTCTTATGGATTATTCAAATGTTCTAGGAAGCTAGAGATTTGTAATAAATATAATCCATATTTAAAAACTAACTGAAAAATGCTTGAAATATAATCACTGCGTGTACGAGAGTCACTTCTTGGGCTGAATTACTTAAACTTTTCAAAGGTATTCTAATTAATTGAATTGCATCAGTACATTTACGCAATCTGTAATTTTTTCCAGCTTCCTCGATGAACACAGAGACACGCTGACCGCGATTAAAGGGAAACGTCTCATAAGACGAGCATCTGATATGCTCGTCTGTAACAAAAACCAAAATAGGAAGTTCACGTTTATATAAAAAGGAGAAAAATTAGTCGTCCAATTTGAACAAGTTCACCAAATTGCAACAATATACATTTAAAATGTATTACAATAGGTATTATTACAATAAGTTACTCTTAAAATGCACAAATGTAGTAACAGGAACAAGAATAAAAAAAAAAAATGAAGTGAGATCAAAATGCAAGATATTTTTAGTACCTGGTCAAAGCTGTCTCTCAGCAAGCCCTGGTCTTCAGGGTGAGAAAAATCTAGAATATTCTTCCCCAGTAATTCCTGCGACACAGAAACAAAACTTTAATTGGTTTAAAAACAGTTGAAGAACGAAGGGATATTTTAGTGGAGCTGATGGCTCACCTGTGGCTGGTAGCCGATCGAGGCCAAGCAGCGATGGTCTACGAAGGTGAACATGCCCTGGCAGTTGTGGCGGGAGATGAACTCCACAGGAACGCTGATGCTGTTCAGGTCTGTGTCACCAGGGCAACAGGTGACCTGCAGAAAACGGGGCGAGGCGATGAAAAGCAGAACATAGCAACCCAGGATAACAAGGCAGGAATTTCCTGATCACGGCACGTTAAATGATCCACATCAGAGTCTCTAAGCCCAACTTTCTCTACCTGTCGTAATAACTTTGCTCATTTTCTTGGAAAAACAGCTTTGTTGATTTAGCAAATTAGGATTTTCCTCACACTGACTCAATCCCAGTGAAGGAGTTTCCAAAGAAGAACCAGCTATATAGTTCTAAATAAAATGCCCAAACCATGTTCGTCATGGCATTGTGTTTATTTACTGTTTCTACCGTTTTATGCAACCAAAAGCTCATCTAGCAACAGAAATCACAAATTAGCTTATCCTGTAAATGTTAGTGCATGACATTTGTTATCCCGACTACAGAAAACAGAAAGAATTGTGATTTCAAAAGCTTGTAAAAGTCTTAGACATAAATCTGCCACTCTTTGCAAGCCAAACATAAAATCAGAATAGCAGCCTGAGTCAAACGGCCGGGTTTACGACTTGTTGCTGCAGATCTTTCTGATCGGCAACATATCTGCCGCTGAGAAGCGCAACAAATAATGATCCAGAAGGAGATTTCTTCATTATTTTATAGCATTTTAAAGCTGTTTAAAACATTTTCTGCTTAGGACGTTCCTCCATTGAAGTTTCACACTATATTATTGCTTCAAGAAAAAACAAAACAAAAAAAACAATGTCTATAAGCAAGATACATTTTCAGTTCTGCTTGTTTAGTTTCATGAGGTTATTTCATTACAAATCTTTGTTAAAAAACACCAACTAAATGCTCTCAGCCGTTAGAAACTTTTAGGAACATTAATTTTATTTTATGAAAGCTTCTATAATGTAAAATTAATATATTTCAAAACAATTGCATTAACTTTATTCTTAATCTGTCTGAAATAATTTTAATTTAATCTGTCGTGTAAAACATTACCTTTAAGAGAGAAGTTTATAGTCATCTATGTTGTTCCATACCTGTAATCTCCCAATGGCAACTAGACAGTAGCGACTCCCCTGATTGTTGTCTGCTTCATCATCTGTTAATGATACACCTGAAATACAAATCATAACCAAAACAGAACAAATTAAATCCACTGTTAAATATTGTGACATTTATTCACAACGACCCAATGTTTGCTTAATTTACCCGCGGGGGGCCAGGACTTAATGTATCCTGTACAGTGAACCACAACGTACTGGGGTTCCCCTTCCTTGGGTGTTCCTAAGCCATTCCTGGTGTGAAGCAAGAAAACACAAAAAGCCCATTTACAACGGAAGTTCAGTTTTCTGTTAACATGGATCCAATCTGCACTAATTCGAACAGAAATGTGCGAGTCTGCTCACCTGTTCCTACTCCTGAGAAAGCTGAGCCTGTTCATAGACATTGGTTCCACTGGGCACGTTCCACACCTGCACAAAGACCATTGTAGAACATGTATCCGAGCATCAAGCTTAGCACAAAAAGTCATTTGATTTATTTATAATGTGCAAGCCCAACCTCATTCTGCAGATGAATGATCGGCGCGCCCCCATTGTCATTCTAGCTGATGACTGCTGACTCTCCTTTTTCACAGTTCCTGTCTTCAGGTCCAACATCCTCCCTTTGAAAGCACAGGAGACCGAAAGGTTAACGTTTTTATTTTTGTCCACCTTGAAAAGGCTTTTTACGTCTTACTATACCTGTGTTGTTGTTCTCCGAAGTGGAGAGCTGCTCCCTGAGCTTTTCTGTGTCGTCTGGGTGGAGCTGATCATAAAGAGAAGAGCCCAGCCATTCAGACTGCGACTGGTTAAGTACAGGTGTGACCGAGTCCGAGACGTAAACAACACGGCCCGTCTCGCATGACACCACGAACAGGAAGCCGTCCGCTGCTTCCAAAATGAGGTGCTTTAGTTCCTGTGGAAGACAAAAAATAAATAAATAAAAATTAATAGCGCGTTGAAGTCGAGGAAGCTGAAAATATTCCTGCTTCCACAGGATCAACATGTGCTTGTTTTCACCTGAGCACGAGTCGGTTCTAAGTCGAAGAAAACTGTTTACTCATTATGGTTTAACTCTTTTCAGTGTGGTACCAGAAAAACAGCAGGAGCAACCAAAGTTTTCTCTGCCTGTAAGGAGCTTAAAGCAGCACAGCTAGTGCCCCACCCACACCTGCTGCTGCGCACCATCAGTCAACTACCTGAGCCAAGGCTGTCATACTGATACCATTGCTCACACAGAAATACATTTGGATGTTTGGGAATATTTTGAGTTGTGAAAAACAATGTTATTCTTATTAAGGTGACCCCATTGTGAACGTACAGCTGGGAAACTATGAGGAGGAGAATACTCTGCACAATAAAAATGTTTAAATACAGCTAACATTGATATAACATTATTATAACTTTGATGACAATTTGTTTTTGCAGCAGTTTTGTTTTGTTTTTCTTTTATAGATAGAAAATGCAGTTAAATCATGTTAACTACTAATATCATGATACTGTAAAACCGTACTATAATTATTTAAGATTATTTCTTGATAATCTAATACTAGCTTATGCAGAGAGAGCTATAATGTAAAAAAAAGGCTTGCAAAAAGTCCACAAGGCAGCAGAAACCTTTTCTCCGTTTACCTTAAATGTTTTCTGGACGCCCAACACAATTTTAAAAAATAACTTCTGTTTTGTTTAATCAACAGAAAAAAAAGCTGGAGTTCAAACCTCTATGGATGTATAGCAACTGACCACTAAGTGAAAATATTAACAAGCAGCTTTTTCAGTATCACTTTCAGTCTTCCTTTATTCTGTATCAACTGATCTGAGTGAGTGAACCGCAGCCAAACTGTGATATCTGCGTCTTGAGTGGCTCAGGCTGTAAGGAGAGTGTAATCAAGCATAGAACTAAAATGTTTTTTTGAAAAACTGAGTGGAGATGAAATTACAAGAGCCACACATATCAAGTTGAGCAGCTGGCATTGAAAGTGTAATGAAAGATGAGCAACTTGGGAGATTTCTACTGCAACCTAAGCTTACTTAGACGCTTCTCGGTGTCCGGCTGGCCTTTCCTCTGACTGGAATGATAGAGGTCGGACAGGCTGCTCTGCAGGTGCATGCATCAGTGAATGTTCTGCAGGAAACCTCACTGAATTAAAAGCGACCCTGTTTAAACTCTAAATGAACAGTTTCCATGCTATTTATACAGCTTCAAAGAACGGCTAAAGATCTGCTATTAAAATCTGCAAGAAAAGAGGAAATTTGAGGAAAGCATGCACATTAGAAGAAAAACAACCTTTAACAACAAACAAGTGGCAATACTGAAAATATTTTGTGATGTCACGAGAAAAAATTATGTTCTGACGATTTACAACTAAACGGTAAAAAAAAAAAAAAAACGTTAGCACGTGACAACCGATGTATATATACTGTGTGTGGTTGGTTAGTGGCTTGAACACAAGTCGACCAAGCATGCAATGCTTCCATTTTCATACCTGATCGCTGAGAAAAGAAGGTTTGTATGACCCGTCAGCATTAGTACTGGCGTTTCCTCTGAGAGACTTCATGTGAGAGACTGCCATTCGCAGGATGGTCAGCTTGTCTGGTTTCCGTGCCAACGCGCTGCACGAGGGAACCATGTCCGACAGCTCTCCGATGTAGGCAGACATCTTGTTCCGCCTCCGCCTCTCAATCTCACTGTGGTTCTCCCTGGAGTGAGGAAATGGGTTGGTAGGAATGGAGAGAAAAGCAGTGATTGAAATGGGGAAAACAGACGAGGAAATGGGCAACGTGGAGCAGAGCTTGGAGTTGCAACACAACCGTGGAAACTAAGAAGAGGAGCTGGGAATGAAAGAATGTAAGAGGATTCATGGACGCGTAAAAATATAATAAAGTAAATGAGTGTGGTGGAAGATTTGTAAGTGAGAGAGAGAGAGAGAGAGAGAGAGGGAGAGAATGTCTGGCCTTTGGAAGCCAGATTGTGTGACAAAAGAGAGCAAATGCAGAAAGAGAAAGACCCTTCAGTCGTCCTGAGAGGGAGGGAGACAAAAGGGACAAAGAACAGTTGCTCAAGCCGAAGGGATTACCAGAGTGAAAGAAGACCCAGACTGAGCAGTGTGGTTAGTGACACATAACACAAGGACAGGCTGCGAGAGACGGCCAGCTGCCTTTCTGACAAGCACCCAAACAGACGCAGTGAGACAAAAAAAGTAAAAAATGTACTGGTAATTTTGTGCTGTCAAAATGACAACGTGCTGGGATCCCCGCAGGACAGGATAGTATCTGATCATTGCATTCCATATAAATATGGATACAAGCGGGAGAGGGAATCTTCCTCGGCGCTACATGCCATACCTGGCTAGTTTTTCCTTATCTGCAAAACTCTGATCTTCTTCCAAAGACCTGGAAATAAAACCAGCCTACTAAAACACCGGCCCAAAAGTTACTGCCGAAATAAAAGAAAAAGAGAGGTGCAAAACACATAACAGAACAAGAAAAAAAAAAAAACTTAAAGTAGGAAAGAGAGTGGGGGTAATGGCTGTTTTCACTGAATCCCATAAACGGCCTCCAATCATATCCTGCTCTACCGATTTAACCCCGTACCTGGCAAAGCGCTCTTTTTCATTGTTGGAGCCTCCTGTTTCATCATCAAATCTGACAAAGCAGAAAGAAAACACTGTTAACACAGCACCTTAGGCAGTTCAAACATCCACATTTTCATTTCACCGAGCCGAATCTGACATTTCCTAGGTTAGCTGGAAAAAAACCCATCTGCATAAATGTCAACAGTGGACAAACAACCACTTTAAGAGGTACAACCAAGCTCATGAACTAATTCTCATCAGTCTGTGTAGCTGCCATGTTTATATTAAAATTGCAAAGCTCTTATTTTGTGCCACAGAAACGTGTAAAGCAACAGAAATATACAGCACCTAAATATGTGAACAGTTAGTTGCTCATATTGTCAAAATCATCTATTAAAGGAGCCATTCATGCAGCATTGGAGGTTAGATCATTTACATTTGCTGCCTGAAAGGGAACACTTCCTGATAAATTTGTTCTTTCAAAGCTCAATTTCATCCCAACTTAACTCTATTTACAACCAGTTCAAAAATGTTTTGCACATAAGTATTTAACTACTGTGCTCCAATGTATTCATATAGAATATAAAAGTCAGCAAATCATATCGACCATCCAGAGGGTAGCGTGAGTCGATAGACATAGATTCATAATCTATCATATTTTCACAAAGAAGAATTGAAAGAGTGTTTTCATACAATATTAAATTAAACGTGAAGCATTTTTTTTAATCTCCTTGATTAATAAAGTTACTTAACCACAACCAAAAACAAATATATTTGCCATAGTTTAACTACATCAGGACAAATGATTTATTTACAGGTATGAAACTGGAGTAGGAATGGATGAAATTGTAATTCATAGATATAAAATAGAGGTACTAGTTGGTGAAGAGGCAAACTGTCTAGAAACCAATGGGTTAACATTCTCATCAAAACTGCTATTCACGGTTAATGTTAAGCACGCTAATCACTAAATTAAGATGCTAACTAGATTTTACAATGCCAATTTGATCATTTTCTCTTTGTTATACATTTTAGTAAAAACAATTTCACTGACATTTAGTTACATAAACATCCCTGCTGCTGTTATAATAGTTACACATGCATAATCTTTGTAATTATTAAAAAAATTTTAATTATCCTACTCAGCTGCACATTCTTTGCATTAAAAGAATGTGCAGCTTATAAAAAAACTGCACAGTATTTTTATAAGCTGTAAATGTGTCCCTTACTGTAACTGCATGTTGGTCTTAGTGTTTACATGTCTCATCTTGCTTGACACTTTGCTGCTGGTGCATGTTAATTTCTCCACTACAGAACAATAAAGCAAGTTCTTTTCTTCTATCTGATCTACAAAAAAAAAAAAAAAAACTACTCATTAATCCAGAAAAAAAAAAACACTATTTGAAGGTCTTAGGACAAATTAGAACCGCCAGAGTCGGTACTGGCAGTGGCACACCAAAGCTTGACAAAACTCTAATTAGAGCATTGAGGTAGCCGCATGTATTTGGTGCACAGTTTCGAAAGCAAATCTCTACACTAATTATACGAAATCAATCACAATCTCATCTGTCTTCCTAGAATGCATCTGATAGTCTCCAGTTGTCTAGTTTGTGATCAAGCAGAGCTGAACCGGTTCAGGCCTGATTCTGGTCCGCAGTAAATGACTGAAAACGACTTGACAAAAAAAAGAAACTGACAGACAAATACCTTAACATCTTGCTTCCATCATCGTCGTCAAAGTCCGGCCTGTAATGTAAAGTATAAGATGGGATATTTCTGGTTTGTCCTCATAAGGATGAGGAGAGCAGCTACAGGAGGTTTCTAGTGAAGGACTTACGCTGCCCGTCTTTTGTTGGTCCCCTTCGGTCCACCAGCGCCGCCGTTCTGGGTCCCACTTGCTCCCATTCCCAGACTATGGTCTGCTAGGTCTATTAATAACACAGCGACGGACAGACTCAAAGTAGTGGAGATGACAGGTGATTATCTTTTATGCTTGCATCGCTGAAAAGGAAACTGAACCTCCAATAGGACCATACGCTTGAAAGACTGAAATGAACCTCCAAATCAACGAGAATGTACTCTTGATTAAGACCGTTTGATGGTAGAGATATCACGACAAATGGCTAGCTCCACAGCTACAAATACAATTTAGAAATACATAACATCTGGAGCGAGTTAAATGAGAGCAGCAAAGTCAAATTAGATTTATTTTGTTATCTCCAATATGCTAATCGTGCAAATTACTTTAAATCTATTTCAACTACGCGACAGGCATTTTAATTGAAGGCACTAGAAGTCAGTAAGCTGCCAACTTCTTGTGCAACGATCAACTAGGCTTACCTTAGCATTAGCCTCTATGCTAAGCTAACTTAGCATTTGCTGTCACGCTATCTTTAGATAAGTGTTTATATAAGCAGTACTGATGGAAATACCTCAAAATGGATTAACAACTGTAGAGTGCTGTAGTTAAGCTGTCAACTTGACTTTGACTTCTCCTTACCTAGATTTGAAGAGGACATATCCGCGTTGAACAACATAAACAAATAACTTCTTTCACAGCGGAAAAAAAAATCTTCTAACTCTCCGCCCTCTCTCCCCAACTGGCTAAGCTAACTTCGGGCCGACCAGTGCGGATTTCTCTCACTTTTCCTTAAAAAGACCCAGAGCCATGACTGATGCTACTTCAAAGCTACGGGAAAATTTCACACACGATTCCAAAGTGATAATTAATCCCTGTCACTACCCCCGTTTTCCTGTTTTCAACCCGTTTAAACCCCCCTTTCTATGTAAGATGGCGTTTCCGAGGAAAAAGTCTCAAACTGCATTTCTTTCTCCGATTCCTATTGGACGCCAGTCAGATGGCTACTAATGACGCATTTGTTTTTCACGCTTCTCATTGGACACTAGTAAGGCACTAGTGACGTAAATATCGGGAAGCCCAAATTTTCTTCTCCAGTCCCTCTGTCCGCGGCAGTGGGATATGCAGGGTTCGCGTGAAGCTCTGCACGAAACAGTGACTCAGGTTGATGTGTCAAGGTGTTAGGTCGTCTGATTTCTATAAAAGTTGGCAAAAATTACTTACCTACTGTGTTTTCAGCGATATGACTCAAGGGTTACTCAGAAAATTTTGTAATTTAGCAGTAGATTTTACATAATATCTAAAAGAGCACGTAGAACTGCATACTTAGCACGAAATTATTATTTACATTTTATTTATAGAGAAATGTAATCCAGTATTTCTTTACCTGCAGATGAAAATATACATGAAATTGTTGTTTTGAACTTTTTTTTTTTGTAGCATCTCCAAACTTCAGTTTATTTATGTGGATTTTATGTGGCAAACCAAAACAAAATATAACTGGAGAGGAAGAAAAACGATCAATATATTCTACAAATAAAAAAATAAAAAATAAAAAAAAAACAAAACCTGAATACAATCCGGTGCAACATTTCCATTCAGGAATTAAAACAAGTAAAATCTTTGTTGCAACATGAGGAACGTTTTAAAAAGTGAAAGCGGCTTAAAGATTGAACTTTCTGCAACACCCACTTTAAGTTGGTCTTTCTTATAAAAGTTATTTAGATTTTGTGACGGTGCGTTGTGTGTAGATTCGTTATAGACACGATTTAGACACAGATGACTCCAGAGCAACTTCTTTGTGATTCATAATTTTTTTTTATCATTATTAACAATATTTAGCCATCATTAAACAAAAGAAAAGTACAAAATAAAAAATATAACACTGTAATCAGGCCACAGATATTTTTTCTGCATCATGTTTGGTGGTTGGTCGGGGTTAGTAGTAGTGGAATGAGAGTCGTGTTTAATGAAGGGAAGTGGTGGATGCAGTAGTGGGAGGAGGATGTGTTTGGGGCTTAGATATGAAGGAGAGAACATGAAGACAGGAGAATTCCTCGCTCATTACAAATAAGGCACTTGACGTACAAATATATGAATGCGTGACGACACAGATGAGATACTTCTTTCTAGAACTTTTACTTTAAAAAAAAAAAAATAAAATTATTTCTAAAAACATAAGAAAAAAACACAATTGTAAACCTTTTCAAACAGAATCATAATCATTAATTTAGGTGAACACTTTTCATTTCCTGCAGGTTAATGGTCAGGCAGTGAGCTGAAGAAATCTGTCCTATTAAAGTCAACTCTGGAAAAACCCCAACGCTTCCACTTAGAAACCTCTCCTCGGGAAGAATATGCTGAGTCATCGGTTTTCGCTGGGTGGCATCATCAGGGTCTGGTCTGAGTCTGAAACACACTCGGCTGTGATTGCTCAATCACTGATGAGATGAACCAAGAGCTCATTTCGGTCTATTGCTTTAAGTTTTCTTAAAAAAGCAAACGGTGAGACGTCACTTAGCTGTACACACTGAGCTTTGTTGGACAAAGACTGAACAGAAACCAGAGAACTTCATAAATGGCACAAGGCTGCACTGACTGCAAAATATTCCTTCATATGTTTGTGCAAAGACATCATAATACCTAACAGAAATGTTGTTGCATAGACAAAGAAATGCCCCGGTATCTATTAGTAGTTCTCACTTTGTTTTGATCTCTTTGTGATCGCAAAACAAAGCACAAAAAAAGACATACATAATAAAGCAGCACAGTTTTAAAGCACAAAGCCATAAAAATGGCTTTTTGGCAGCTACCAGCTGGCTCTAAGGCACACCATTAAAACATGAAAGTTAAGTAGAAGCAGCAGCAGCAGCACCTTCCCGTTTCTCCTCCACACCTGGAACCTCTTCATGTTCTCTCCTGTCTCACTGACAGTTTTGTTGGACAAACATCTAACAAAGATGATGATACGTGATTTCCGTTTTCCTTGGGTGACAAAGCAAAAGCTGTGCCACTTAGTGTAGTGTCAATCTTGATACTTGTGTTCTCTAAAAGTTTGACTGAGCATGTGTATGTCTGTGTTAAAGTAACAGTGTTGAATCTCCTAGTTTTAGGGAATGCCATCCTGTCTTCTTTGTCGTCCTTTTTTCACAAGTCCTTTCTTTCCTGCTCTCACAAGTTTCACTCCGCCTTGCTGTGATTGTTGTTGTGGACTGTGTGGCCGTTCTGCATGGGCCCATTTTTCTTTGTGTGCTTTTTATCCCCTCCTTCTTCTTCCTCTTCCTCTGATTCGTCTGTTTCGTCTTTGTCGCTTCGATCATCGTCCACTTTTTCCTGGGAATAAAAAAACAAACAAACATTAGAGACTGTTTAGGACAGTTATAAGTTGAGAAGATGCTGAACTTAGTCTGAAAAAACAAAACAGTTCAGTCACTTCAACATGCGTCTGTATTTAAAGAATATATTTGCTAATTACATCAGTCCAAATCTTGACATTAAAAACCCAGTCAGTTAGGATGTTTTATCTGGATTTCACAGTTTTGCTGGCAGTTTTTGCAGACTTCCTAGTCAGTTTCAAACAGCAACTAGAGTAAACATTTAGTAGTATTTAGGAAAACATCTTTAGACTTTAACAATACTAAATATGTCACAGGATCTGATTTCATTATTTCTCTCTACATACTTGGATATAAACTGGATTTGTTTGCATTGTAAAGTGCATTGAGATGGCATTTATAGTAAAACTGATTCTTGTCATGCAGTAAATGGACAGCTGGTGCATGACACATATCTCAGCCTTCTTTTCTATCCTGCAAAGACATTAAATATGACTTTCAGATACTATTTGTCAGCTCTAGATGTTTCTTTAGTTTTACATTTCTTCTATTTTCATTTACTTGTCCACATTCTTTTTTATATTAGAAACAAACTCCATAATAAATTCAAAAGGACGAGACAAATTTGTCCAAAATAAACTTTTAAAGACCATCAGAAAGCTTGAAGAACAACTGATCAAGACAACTTACAAAAAATACAAAAAATAGCTCCTTAAAAGCAAAGTATAAAGAAATTGTGGTGGATTAAGACTTTTGCAGAGAGATGTATAAATATGGAACAACAGAAGTTAATAAGAAACCCAGCTTTGCAGTGAACCAGAACTGGTGATCCATCTGGACTTGTCTGCTGTATCCAAGTACAAACGGCTGCTCCTCTAACAGTGACAGGCCTACTGCTATGTCACTGTGCACTTTTACTCAGTCAAGCCCCGCTGCAATAAGAGAAGTGACAGCAGCACTCTGTGTTCAGCCTCTTCCTCTATGGTGGCTCTATCTTGTGATCCTAATCTGACCACCTCCATCTTAGAAGTGCATCAGTCTTGAAAACAGCATTTGAACAGAACTGCAAGGCAAAACAGAGAAGCTCCTCTCCTAACCTGACTAAGTGAGCTCTGCATATTCCAATTATACAACAGTTTCACATAGTGCACAGTAAAGCAAGCAGCAGTTTAATGAAAACTTTTCTTACACTGACAGTGTGCACTCCAAATTTCAGAAATTATTTCACAGTAATGAATTGACATCTTTCTTTTTCTCCCTGCATTTACCGTTTCTTCCATTTCCATAAACAGGAAGTACAATAAATCTGAACATTTTTCCAAAATAAAAGCTGCGTATCTACACATATGTTTTGCTTACGTTGTTGGTGAGGAAGCGGATTGCTATGCGGATGATGAGAACGGCCCAGAAGATATGGAGACACTGCAGAACCATAAGCAGGCCATTGAAAAAGTAGTAGCCGAAGAAAGGCGGGTAGATGGTCACTGGGTAAACCCAGGTCCAGTAAATGATCCTGAAACACACAGAGAGGATCAGGGAGGAGGAAAACAACATTCAGCTGGTTAAAATGTGTGAGAACAGTTTTAATCTTATAGTCTTTTACTTTTCAGTTTTAGTGCTACTGTTGTCTCGTTTTTATCTATCAAATACTGTTTTTGAATATAGCTAAAGTCTACATTAATCTTAGAGACGTGCTCTGTACTTATACTGAAGATCAAAAATGTGTGTAAGCGTGTGTGTGTTTGTACCAGAAGGGGAAAAAAATGAGGCGTGTGACGATAAAGACTGCAGCAAAAATGATGAAGATGTAGTTACAGGCGTTTCTCCACCCAGCATAGTTGAACATCTTAGCAGACTGTCAAAGGAAAAAGAAAGAGAATGATTCACAAACAAATGTAAACACATGAGCCGAATGATTATTGCTAATCTCTTTAAAAGCAAATAAAACTTAAATGCACGTTTTCAAACACCAGGTGGCAGTGTCAGCTTCTTTGCGTCAAATAATCCTCTGGATGGAAGTGGCTCATAAATAAAATTAGCACATATGAGATGTGGTTCCTGTCTATTATCAGGGTTCCTACAAATTTTCACATTAACATTTCTACATTTTTCTGTGTGTTTGTACAACATTATGGGCAGTTAAGTAGAAAACATTTACTAAAGTCAGGTTTTACCACTTCTTTGCTATCCTCAATCTTTAAAAAGAAAATCTCAAACTTCTAGATTGTAGTATCCATCACTATGAAATGATGCTTTATAGCAGACAGGTATTTTTTTTATTTTCATTGTTAAAATTCAAGACTTTGTTTAACCTGGAAAATGATCAAATAAATCAATGTGTTTCCAGTCAGCGCAAACCTTTTATCATGTATTGAGTAGCGATGAAACACTGGAGGTAAAATGTTGTCTGACATTCAAAAATAATCCAGTGAGGGACATTTACCTCGAGGAAGTAATCGGAGGAGTCGTGCACCAGCATGATTAGAGTTCCAGCACGGATGTAGTTCACACACCAGGAGAAGCTGATGAGGAGGATGGTCGCTACGTGATGAACTATCTGCTCTTTAAAGTCCTAAAGGGAAAGCAGGGAAATTATTCGCTCGGGTCATGAGAGAAGGAAACGTTTAAATGTGTGTTGCATGTTAAAAAGTTGTTGGGTTTAGAGCGAAATCCTGCTTAAGATTATTTCAGATTAGACCAGGGATCTGCAGCCTTTACAATACAAAGCGCTATTGAATAAAACTCGGTCAGAGTCGCAAATGTTACATGACCTTATAAAATAGGACAAATTACTATAATAATAATAATGGCGTTTGAAAACGTTATAAATCTAATTGATTCAATTTGCTGCCATTTTTAATCCACCATTTCATATCTATTTTTTTTTATCTAAAATACATGAAAGTATTAAAGTTTAGCAAAAGCCTTAATGCTATGGGATATTAGTAGTGGTGAAAAATTATGCAAACAAAAAAGCACATAGTTTCCGACGTAAAGTCAATAATAATAGATCTAAACATATATTGGTGGTGCTATTGCTGTCAGTCTGTTGTGGATATCCAATGAAAAAAAAAAAAACATAAACTGCTAAAACCTGAATTTGTGTTATATCCACATTTAACAACATGAGTTGGTTCTTTGACGTTTTTAGCCAGACTTATTAAGAGTCAACATGGAGGGTTTAAATGGCCACTGTAACGTCGGAGCCGCAGGTTTCAGAGCCCCGGTTAGACGTGTGGTGTTAGAGGAACAATCTGTGCCTCTTTTGCAAGACTTTTTTTTCCCTCTGCTCTGCACAGCTGAGCAGGCAGAGCATAGTCCAGCAAAAACACAGAAAAACACACGTGTAACAACAGTCTAATGTCCACCCACAGTCCGCAGATGTGTCACAGCTCAGATCATTCAAAGGTTATAGAGGTTTTCTCTGAACATAATGTAATAGCAGCACACAAAAAGAAAGCAAATATTACAAGTTATGCTACAAGAACCTACGACATTAATTCTAACTTTAAGTATTTGTTGGTGTCTGGACTCCACAGAAGCAGGATCTTGAGATCATCTCCAGATTTCAAATTGACAAATAGTTTGGGTCACATGTTTGTGCCACTCTTACTTTGTGGATCCGGTGTTGAAATGTTTGGGAAACCCTGTGCAAGTAGACAGTTTCTTGCAATGTCTTTCATTTGTTCTCAGAAGAGAAAACTGCTGCTGAAATATATTCACTTACTTTACGTTTGACGTCAGAAGCCACGCTGAAGAGCAGAGAGCCGTAGAACCCCAGCTCGATCATGTAGTACCAATACTGAGATGGCAGCAGAGTCTGAACAAGAGAGATGTCTTTAATACATAAAATCCATGGGCTAATGTCATAAATTCAGACTGTAAGAATTAGATTATAGATAAGAAATGCATTAGCCATTTTTTCCCCTGACTGATAAATGAAGAAGTGTGCTTTCAGGTCCCTTAACAGAGGCAGAAATTTCATCTGAAATTAAATGTAATAATAGAAAATTATCCCAATGATGAATCAAAAAATGTGCTCTACAGTTATGTGTATTTTTAAATGCATTAATAGTGAATGAAAGTACATGAAAGTAGGACGAAATATCTTCAGGACGATCTAACAAACGTTTCCTCATTATTGCAAGCAGCTCCTGGAAAGTTATTAGATTAAAGACGCATTTACTGTTTAACATGGTAACAGGATGGTTTGGATTGTTTTATTCCCTTAATAAATCAAATCATCAACTGAAAAGAGTTTCTTTATTTTTTCAGGTTATTTTGGTGTGACATTGACATTTGTTTAATGATCCAAAACATATAAGTGTCACAAAAAAAACAACAGCAAAAAACTGCAGAAGAAATCTGTAAGGAGCAAATTATTTCCAACATAATCTCAATATTTATATTTATTCCCAATTTCTGACTATAATCCATCGCTACACAACCATTTAATGCCTATTTTGTATTTATGCTGGATAATTTGAGTCAGTAATCTGATGCATTTGCTATTCTCATCCCTCCCAGAGACGTACCAGCACAGGAAAGCCTTGCCACATCTCCTTCGTGTCATACAGCCAAGGTTTCTGGAAGGAGAAACGGGACGGGATAATGAGACAGCAGGAATCAGCAGGTGTATTTATATCCACTGACTCAGCACCGGGATGAGTCAGGGCTTCATCTCTGCAAAGAGGCAAAGTTATCAAAGCAAAAAGAGCAGGCAGCTGCAGAAATATACAAGTTACAGCAACGGAAGCACATGATGGATGAGACTTTGTGTGGGTTTACATGAAGAGAAGAGGCAGTACTCACATCGATGAGGGCGGCCAGGCCAGCAATGAAAGCAAGAAGGTAAAAGGTAAATCTCCAACTGCAAGAGAACAAACACACACACACTTTCTCTTCAGTCAGTCGGGGAAAAGATGTTTAATAACTCATCTACCAGGAAACGCATAATTAAGGTGTTTTCACACCAAAACTGCAACTTTTGTCACATTCTCAGCTGGTGCGGTTGGTTTTTTTCCCAAACCAAACCGTTTGAAAAACCTGTTCACCCACACGCCTGTGGGGGGCGCTGCACAAAGAACCACTGAAGAAGACAACACAAAAACCTCAAACCAAGACATGAGGGCAACATCCTTCTTTGCAAAAATGTAAAACAAAAATAAAGTGGCATCAGATTTTAGTCGTAGGATTTAACTTTTGTTTAATAGAAAAAAACAAAAACACGAGTCATTTCTCCTGCTGGAGCAAGCTAGCGTTTGTTTTGACTGTATTTACCCAGAATGCCCTGCGCTGTAGTTTGAGTCCTGCTTTTGAAGCGGCCTCCAGTCTGGTTGCATCCACATATGCTTTCAAAACCTCGACAGAGTTCACTTTCTCCGAGCCAAAACCTGTTTGCATCAGCGTTTGATTGCGCACTCACCCCTTCCCAAACAAATCAGACTAAGTAGACAAACGAACTGGGGTTTGATTAAAACAGACTAAACAGGGCTGTGTGAATTCATCCTTAGATTCCGCACATGGGAAAAATCTGATGAAATACATCATTAATGTTCAACAACGACACGCAAACAAACAAAGCTGGACAAATGTTGATCAAACGGCAGAAATACCAGACAAAAGAGGGAGCTGTTAATATCCTGCTTCAGAGATGGAGCGAGGTCACAGCTCCCTTTGCTCAATCACACAGGTGTGGCGAGAAGGCTTCAGACAGAAAGCTGGAGCAGCGAGAGAGCAGCAGAAGCTCAGTGAGAAAAGGACAGTGAGAGCGAGGGGACACATCAGCCAAGGGGAAGCAGGAAAGACAGAAACCCTGTTGTCCGCACGCACACAATGGGTTGATTGAAAAGAAATAATGTCCTTATGTTGCAACCAACACAGTGAAAGACTCACCATAACCAGGCAGGGACAAACATCCAGTCACGTGCACCCGCCTGCACAAAACCAGACGAATCGTCCGCAGCTCGGATATAACTCACATGCAAACACAAATACAGCTAAAGCGATGACAGAGTCCCTGACACAGCTGAGGCCGTGTAGTAAATATGTTTATAGCTGGAAATGCTTGTGGGGAACCGGGCCAGAAGGGCAGACTGGCACGGTTCTGAGTGCAAGTTAAAAATAGAGGATTCACTTCGAAACCCAGAAATTTGTTTGTACATGCAGCGGGTCTGGTTAAGGTCAACGGTTGTTTTAACCTGGTTCGTGTCACACAGCTGGGCTCCAAACTTTACCCACTGTTATTAAAATGTCAGGTCACAGCAACTCTGATCAATCACCTCTGAGTTTCCTCCACCTTTAAGAGTACATATAGTAAGAGCAATTAGAATATGGAACAGATAAAAAGCTCAATAACCTGGCAAATACTTTGTTCTAGCACTTTGTGATTTAAAAACAGGATTCAGTTTTCTCTGCCAGGAGATTATCAGCCAATTACGTCATGATTTAGTTATATTTGACAACTCTGGCTTATAAAAGGACATTTATATTTAGTTCTGTTATTTGTTTTTGTGCCACATAAAAAAGTGGCATCATTAAATTAAAAAAAAGTGAATTCTTACAACTCTTATTTTGACAGATTTTTGCTCCGACTCCTGCTAACTACAGCTTAGCTAGAGAATAAAAATAAGGACTTTATTCCCTCAACAATTGACCGCACTAGTGAATTTAATACGCTGAATGCTGGATATGAATCTAAAGTTGCTTCAATAAAGTGTTAGTTTGAGGTTGAACACACCTCCGCAGCCAGGTTACGCACCTGAATCGCATGGGAGATATGTCACATTAGATGTGAAAAAAGGTTTTGGAAGTTTTTATCCAATGCTTACTTTTTATCAGCCCTACATCCGAACAGACTCTTAAGAACAACGATGTATCTAGAAAAGAGCACGCTCGTGTTTTTACCTGGCTTCTCGGAACTTCTTGAGCAAACTCGGTCGGTCCTGGTTCCTCCTCCGTCTGAACCACCGCTGCACTTGTCTTTCTGAATAACCCGTCTGTTTGCAAAGGCTTGCTATTGAAGACTGAACCAACAAAAGGAGGTTTGATTTTTGGTATTTTCCGGTACTTCACATCCTACAGCGCGCTCAGTGTCACGAGAGTTACCTGTGTTGGGTTTTTGGTCACTCTACAGTAATAGGACTCGAGGGAGGGGATGTGAGGCGCTTTGAGCCGAACCGTCTCTTTCACGCCGAGTAGAGAGGCCAGAGGTGTCGCCACTGTCCTGGGATTAAACAAGGGATTAAAAAGGAAGGACATTTTTTAGAAGAAATAGGTGAAATGAATGGAAATCAATGTAAAATCTAACCCTAACCCACAGATGATAAATGAAAGTATTATACAGGATGTGTACTGATGGTACAGGATGTTTACACAATATTTCTGGAAGCTAATTAATTACATTCAATAAATATCTGGCAACATAACAAAAGACGGAAGCAGAAAAGATTATTTTCCACATCTGACAGATAAAAGTTAATGCTTTATATAACAGACAATGAGGATTTTTACCCTTTTCTAAGTAACCGGATGAACATTTCAGCAATAAAATGCTCAAGCTAGGAGCCTAAAAATCAAAAATCAAAAATATTCAGAATGGCATTTCCAAAGAAGAATTATAAAAGAAAACTGTTTCCTTTGAAACACGTTTTTATTTTAATGTTAAATGTCCTCAGAGGTCAATGACGATGTGTTTTCCCTCAAATATGTACATACTTCTCAAAACAGATAATTTTTATTATGTAAATAGAAAAGTTATAAATAGAACCTGAAACCACATGAAAAAGGAGGTCTAAGAAAGGACTAAGAAAAGTCTGACTGGATCCAACTTTTAAACAATAAAATCCTATTTTTCAGACTATGCAGGAATCTAGAACGGCATAAAAAGAATAACTAGCTAATGAAAGTAAATGTTGTTTTTGATTGTCTGCATTTTATTCTAAATAGGTTTTAATTCATGTTATTTCTGAAACATTGGGATCCACGTAGAGGCATCTGGAGAAAACAATCTAGTAGTTGGGAACTAGGGGATGTCTGACAAAAAAGTATGTTTTATAATTAAATTAAAAACATTGCAAATTTATGAGCAACTGTGAGCAGCAGCTTTATAGGTTCATGCAAATGTTACAACTGTCTCCTTTGCTGTTTCTCTTATCACGTTTCCCAACGTTAGAGAAGGTGAGAGGGAAGGTAACAAAAGATAAATATAATGAAAGTAATAATTAATAGTGACTTGACAAACATAAGCAAGTGAAATATATGACTGCGAAGGGATATAAATACTGTTTTAAGTTGGAGATAAAAGAAGAGATAGCCGACCAAGAAAGTCACGGACAAAGCAAGGAGAAGGTAGAAAAGGTAAAAGAACAACAAAAGAGGAAGACAGGGATAAATGTGTGAACACGGAGAAAGTAAATGTTTAAATTAAACACAGCTGAGGGTCACAGGTAGGCCAGAGGACAGAGTGAAAGATGGACTGACCTTTCAAAGATTTGCCGGATAATGAGGAATACCAGCGCAATGGGAAGCGCCACCCATAAATCACGGCCCTTCGCGTAAACTCGTCCATCCCGATCCTCCAGGTCAGCCCAGCCCAGACCCTCCGGAAACCACAGCCGCTCCTGCCAGAACCACTCGCTCAGCTCCACCAGCATCCTGAAGCACCAGGACTCTGCACCACCCTTATGGCTTTATCAGCCTGCAAATATAAGTCAATTAAGCTTAGAGACATGCGGTAAAGGACAAGTGAAATCTTCATTATGAGACAAATGGGGAAAATACAGTGGTTTAACTTTGGTTTTATTTGATGCTCACTGGGAGCATGTACATATTTCCTAATGCATATAACGGAGCACAGAGACATATGAAGATCCACCTCAGGGATGAGCGAATGCTTTTCCTTCACACCTCCACGATGAACTCGTGAATAGAGTCATCTGCGATCGCTGCTTCTTTCTCTGACGTAATGATGAATATTTCGGCTGCTATGTTCAGGGAGTGGCAAGAGAGTAAAGGGCTGGCTGCAAAGTGAGACGGTACATCTGTGGGATGTGAGTCATAACTCATCTATAAGAGCAGAGCGAGTGGGGCCACCGTTACGCACGCCATCAGCGGAGTCCCCTTACAGAGCTACAGCAACTCCCACTCCTGCAGCTGCAAATGCCAAAGCCGTGTAACCGCCTGGCTTCCACTCCCATTCCCACCCTGCTGCTGCTGCCGCCGCTGCTGCCAGTAACTGAGGAGGATTCCCCCTTTGGCTCAGAGAAAGGCAGAAACATTTCTACTGCTCTTATTTTCATAACACGCCCAATAACACACATAATGTTATTGATAGGGCAGGAGCGTCAAACTAGTTTTCTTTTAGGCGCCATGTCAAGATCATGAATGTTCTCAAAGGGCCGCTTGTGCCAGGACGTGTTGATAAAACCCATCAACAAACTGTTAAAATATTAATAAAGAGCTGTCTCTGCCGTCGATAAGTACCTATTAAAATGAAGTAATGTTTTCACAATCATCGGTCTCTCCAGGATTTCAATATTGTTTTTATTTTTTGCAGTGGAAATAGCTGATTTTGTGGATTTAATTTAGTAATTTAAAAATAAATTTTGCGCATTTACCATCTTTTTTTGGAAGATGGTAAATGTGGCTTTTTGTTGCTCTCCACTTTAAACACAGACTATAAGTTGATATCAAGTAAGGCTGAGGCAGCAGTGTAGCTGAAGTAAGAAAGTTAGCAGCCGCATAACTCCAATATTTCCAACCCTTTTTGAAGGAAAATTTGCAATAAACTCACAATTATGCAAAATATATAAACCGCTTTGATATAATTGATAAAATAATATTTAAGCACACAACTGTTATCTTCATGGTTCTATTTATGTGTCAGCTTGGAGTCCGGAGGGCCATATAGAAACTATAGCGGGCCAGATATGGCCCCCGGGCCTTCAGTTTGAAGCATTTAAAATAGGGAATAAAAATGCATTAATGGATAGCAGGAAAGAAACTTTGACTATGTAAAGACACAAAAGACACAAAACACAGGAATGCAATATCAACATATATGAATGTTTTCGCATTTTAGCTAAATGATGTAATGATAATAATAAAGCTGATTCTTCTGATCTGGCTACTGCTGTAAAAGGTGCTATGGATGAGTGAGTGTGTTATTTTCCACATACAGTCATGTCAGTCGTCACAATCCCTCTATCCTGTTGCAAAAACCTTGGGCTGCCCTATTTTTCCTTTTGGAGAAAGGGGAGGATGACATATTTTTTCCCTATAATTTTTCCAGTTCTTCCACTTCAGAGATTCAACATCTGACTTTTGGTGGTCATGCATAATGCATTTGAGTGCAAAGATAGCCGCAGAAAAAGGTTCCTCGCAGTCAAACCTCAATAAGACAAGTAAAAATCAGCTGTCCAAAGGGTGTTTGATGTGTGGAAATGATAGCGACAAAATACTCCAAACTCCTGCAAAGTGTGTTGGATACAATTAAATGTAACAAGCTGGACAAACACGCCACAAAGTGAGCATGAAAAATTGACAAATACACAATGAAGCCAAGAAAAATGTTTAAAAAGTCACACTGTCCGGAAGCATTGCAACATTTTAGCATTTTGCAAACTCCAGGAGAATATTTTTAGGGTCGCTTGTTTAGGTCATCCATTGAATTCAGCATGTTTAAGCAGTTCTTCCCCCACAGCTTCCCAAAATCCTCCTGCCATTGGTCTAACAGATCACATGACCAGACTCTGACCATTTCAAAGGTCCAATAAAAGTAAAGAATGCCTCCAGCGGGTGGGAGGGAGCAAGGCGGTTCTCCCTCTCTCTCTCTATGTCAGACAGACTTTCTCTTCCACACTATACACTGCAAGCGTCCGATGACTGTAAACAGTGATTTCACATCAAGCTGGCTGAATGTCATTCCAGATATTCCTGAATCCTGGGGTTTATACACCTATAATGCTTACTCTGATAAAAAGCATCAAACAGAAGTTAGGAGAACCTAAACAAATCCAAGAAGAACGTGGCACAAAGTCCAGGAATATTTAGAGAATGTAAACACGCTGGCACCAAACAGAGGAATCACTCCACTCCGTCCCCATTTGCTCCCCTGGTTCATAAAATCATCCGGTGCTTTACAGTCCAATGAGTATTGGAAGGCAGGAAGCTGAGCAAGTCAGGGGAACCATAAGTCATAAGACTAACAATGTGCTCTGACTGTGACTCACTACTACCAGACCATCTGTGTTGTACAACCACATTTAGGATGCTCACTTTGGAGGCTGAATCATTCAAACCACAGCATTTAGCAACCATCAGAGGAATACAGATTCATGAGAGAGACCAACACCATCTGGGTTACGAGTCCAAGAACAGAACAACACAGGAACTGGGAGACTGATGCAAGAAAAGCTTCAAGAGAGCACAATAAAAACATAAACCTACAAATTGCCAATAACTAAACAGATTACAGCAGAGATGTCCAGTGTCATTCAGATGAATGCCATGTCCTGGGTTTATGCCCAGCATTAGCCCTCTTCCTTCCCCTCCCATCCCTGGTACTGGATTCAGGAAGTGGTTCAAATACTCTACAGAGAAACGGGACACTCCTTCAAGAAGCACGATCAGTTCTCACTATTACATAACCACATGTGACTTAATATACCAATATGTGTTGTGAAATCACTTGCCAAGCAGGCACTTACCAAGCAGGCACAACACGCTATTGTTACGCCTGTAATGGAAGAACAAAAATTTACAGCCAGATGTAAGGCTTACTGTATTTCCGTTTCCAGTAATGTATTGACAAAATGCTGAAAAAAAAAAAAAAAAATACTATGTGTTTCGAAGATGTTCTAAAATAGCAGACTTTTAATAATCTCCAAATATACATAAGTATAATCAGTCTGAATGAGAGTTGTTATAAATGTGAATGAAATTATACTTTGTAGACAGGTTCAGTCTTTAATTTTGACATTTTAAGCCAATATTATGTTATTCCAGTGTTTCATGATAAATAACTATTTGTTAAAGAACAGTGTGAGGACGGGGACGTTTGTGAATCCGGGTAGAGGGTTGCAGACCTTACACCTGCAGCTGAAGAGAGAAGAGCTGGGCAAATTCGAGAGGAAGGGCTATTGTGTGATTTGGTGGGGGTAGTCGCTTTATAAAAGCTGTTGTTGAGGCAACACCTCTGATCACTTCGGGCTTTTTGCTGTCAGAAAATATCCCAAAGATATGTGTTTGTATTCAATAAATGTGATTGATTTTTATTTTGACTCTTTTTGTGCTGGTTTGATCCTTCACATCAAGGATCTTTATTGGGTCATAGGTATGTCAAAACTTTAAATATTTAGCGCACTGATGTTTCACTGAGATAACATGTCGGAATACATCTATAAATTACAATGCATGTCCCGTTTTTGTTCTTGAAATAATATATTTTAAAAAGATGAATACTACGTCTTCTCTTGCTTGTAAAGACAAAAAAGAAAAAAAAACATTGGCATACATTAAACTAAGCATTCTAATACTTTCTAAGTAAAACCAACCCAGAGCTTTATGTACAGCTGTATTGGTAACAATATGCTGTATGATAGACCATTACAGTCTACGTTTCTAATCAGACGTTAAGAAGTTGCCAGCGAGAGCTAACCGATGTTTAATAAAGGTGTTGAAATATTAAAGACTCAAAGTCCGCTCAGTCTCAGACCGCTCAGCCTGACCAGCCAGAACCACTCAGATAAGTCTGTAACACAAAAGCTATTTTGCAAACTGATGCACTTGTACAAAAACATCAAACAGCAACGGAGATAACAGCTTCTCTGCTAGGTGATATTAAATCCTTAATGATCTACCATCACCATGTTGCTCACACGCAGGTCGACATAAATCCGGTTTCATTTCCTGTTATATTTTCCCTGGCATTGTACTGAACTCCTGCTGCTCTCCTGTGTTTAAAGCTGATTTAAAACGCCACTACATATACACAGTGTACATAATGAGAGTGGTTAATGAAAAATACAATGTCTTTTAAATAAATTAGATTGAACAGGAGGAATACAGTTTGATTAGAACTGTTCAGGTGCAAACAGATGCTACTGCAATAAACTGAACTTAATGAAATGAGATGTAAAAAAAAAACAAAAAACAAATAAATAAAAGCTGCATAGAAACTTATCAGTTGCTTCATAAATGGGAACCATAAATAACAGCACAGGTCGTTAACTTGCAATGGATCATTTTTATAGCCCATGAGATTGTGATTAGTTTGTTTCTAAAGCATGTAGTGATACAGTAATTAGTGTCGGTGCAGTCTGAAATTGAGATTTTAGTTTAACGATTGCAGTATCAAGGTACAAACTGTCGTTTCAAAGCTTTTAAAATGCGAATATTTAGTATTTCTGTGCAGCAAAATGCATTTGTGTAACAGGGGGAGGGAGAAGAGGAGAGGGCAGCCGGCCATGCTCTCTGCTGCACATGGTCCGTTAGCCCTAACTCAGGTCATGCTTTAAGCATTTTCCAGCAAGGATAAATGATCAACACGCATCCCGCCCACATTTTAGGAATTCTTTGGGAAAGTAACTCAAAAGACATGGAGATTATTTCTCTTAAAAAAAAAAAAAAAAAACATTCAACAGATAATCTCAGTGTGTAAGTGGCAGTCTGTGTTTCATCATCCCAAAGCAGTCGGTTTATTGAATTGTTTCATGACCGTTAGCCTCTCTGCTGTGCTGTGGGTAAACATCACAAAAAAAGTCAGGTTTTAGTGACACTGATCTGTGGCTCTCATGAATTATTGATGCTGCAGGTCAGTCAGTCAGCATGCGGCTGTGAGTGGGTCTGTTTAGGAGGCACTGTCATGCTGAAATGATTTACCTCAGTGGATGCAAGGCCATGGTTACATTTACCTTTTGGTGACTAGTTTTACTCATTCAGCGGAGACCGAATTCCACTATGTTCTACTGAAGCTCCGATTACTCACTGAAAGCAGTCAAAAAGGAAGACGTAATCACAGACAGATCAACGTTCAAGTTGCTTTTTTCGATCTCAGGTTAAAGTAGTTAACTGAGGTGTGGCAAACTCATTTTCATTTTGGGCCATATCAAAGATCTGAATTTTCTTAAAGGACCAGAATGTATTGATAAAACCCATTAAACTGTTAAAATATCAAGAAATGGCTGTTTGTTTCAGTATTCAATAAGCGTTTCTTAAAATTACATCGTATTGAACGTGTTTTTACACTGATCAGCACATCCAGGATTTCGTTAAGTTTTTGTGTGTTTTTTTTCTTTTTGCGATCAAAATCACAGATTTTCTGGCGCTAATTTAGAAATATTTGTAAGGAATTTTTATGATATTTGCGCTAATGTATGGTGTTAAAAGTCACTTTTTATCAATCGCCGCATCAATCACGGACTATAACTGTACTTCAGGTAAGGCTGAGGCCAATTTGACCAATTTTAAGAAAAGAATTGCAGTAAAAGTCTGAAAAAAATGTGGATATCTGTTGATTTTGTGTGAATTTTGCAAACTAACTGATGTAAATTGGAGTCTAAAAGGCCACCTAAAAAGCTAAGGCGGGCCAGATGTGGCTCCCGGGCCTTGAGTTTGACACACGTGATTTAACTCGACTGACTGCTCTTGACTTCAATGCAGAATTTCAGTCAGAATTAATGATTTACAAACACACTGTCACATATTAGGACTAAGCAAATTAGGTTCCATGGATGAATCACCAACTGCTGAGGCTCATTTAAGGAAACTTAGACTTTTTTTTAGACTACTGCTGTTTTCCAGGTATGCCACTCCCATTCTGGTATAACAAATGAACGAGTTATACAATTATTCTTATTCATGTATCAAAGCACTTGTCCCTCACCTTTATATGAAACAAACAAAACAAAGTGGGTCGGAGAAAAATGCCTTTTCAAACCAAAAAGGTAATATGTTGGTCCATCACCTATTTATGTAATAAAACATAAACAGGCGTTTTAGGAGTGGTAAAATGCAACACAAGTTTCGATTATAAGATCTGAAGAAGCTGCTTAAAGGTATTCTCAGAGAATCATTCACAATAATAATAATGCCTTTGTCTGCGTTGTAGAACAGAAATGCAGGTGAGCCTTCATTCCTGCTGCAACAAGGCAGCAGCACAACACCTCCATGTGCATTTATACGTACCACAACTACCATTGTGTTTTATGGTACTATAGTCTTGGTGTGCTGTTGTGATTTTAGGTGCTACCTGCACACACAAGTTTCTCTTGTAGGGATTAAGAAAGTATTTATGAATCTATTTTATTAGTGCTGAAAAATGTCCGATTGAAAAATTATTGTTGAGTGTTGGGTTGCTTTCAACCCACATTTTCTTCAGTCATACCTTAATTTTCTCATTGCAATGCTCCAGCAACTTTTGCTTTGGCTTTGATTCCCATTTGGGCTTCTTGGCTCCATTGAAAAGCGATGGATTAGTAGTCCTAATCAAACCAGTAAGGGTTGGGCTACTTCCTGCTTCCACTGCGAGATAAGAACTGAGATAGCGTTGCTATATGAAAGGGCAAATGGGAGAACTGACCGTCACCTCCAGAAAATAAAACAAAGGTGGGTAATAAAGCAAGAATGTTCACAGCAGGATTTAACAAAATGGAATGTTTCCTAGCAGACCAAAAACCACCTCCTGCTAATGTGTATTTGGGTCAGTTACATCACAGGAGGCACAAGAATTGAGCAGGTCAGCCAGCATTGTTGGACAACATAGCCGGCAAGCTACATTTACAGATTTCCACTGATTATGAAGCGCTGGACGAACATTTTATTATTAAGCCCTTTAGGCTCCAAAGTCTTGACTGATGCTGCTGTGGATGGAGAAGCTAACCCAGATAAAGAGAACGATCGCTTTAGGAACTTTAACTGACGCATATCTACTTATATTCCAACTTGAATTTTTCCATCTCGTTGGATGACATGCATATTGTAAAAATGCTGTATCCTGCGTACATCTATGTTGTTTATAACTGTGGAAAAATGTTCATATTTTACAATAACAATAAACTTTGATGCCTGCAAACACCCCAAACTGACAATATTAGTTGAAATTGTTGTTTTTGATTATTTAATTTAAATATTATTTCTACTCTTCAAATGTACTTATAATCACTGTGAAAATATGCTTAGGTTATATTAATATTTGCCATTTAGCACTACAATTACACTGCAATAATTGGTGTATTGACTATATGTTAATGGGGAAAGTTTTACTTTTACAGCAGAATAATCTATACTAAGAATTGCAAGTACAAACTATTAATTAAACCAGTGGCACACAATGCTGTAAATTATCTATTTATTAATATGTTTATTTTGTGTTTATATGCATAAAATGAAGTCAAATACATAATCTGCTTATATTGCAAACAGTAGTTAGCAAAACTACAAGCTATTCGGCTAGAGGTGGTTTACTCTCATGTGATGTCATTCTCACATTAGAGCTCTGACTTAAGACACCAACTAATTAGCATTAGTTAAGGCCATACAGTGATAATCTCACATCAGGCCAACCCTACTGAAGGATGGAAATGGTTTAAAAAACAATGCAAGTACAAAAAAGATCTGATTAGTGATTAGCCGCCTTATGTGATGTCATCAAAGCCATGCAAGCTTGTTTTTTCCAAAGGGAATCAAGATCTTATTTTATTTCAATGCAAAGCACTGAAAGAAAAAAACAAAAACAAAAAACAGCTGGAACGAAACATTTTGTTACATGTGACAAACTTTATATCAACAGTGGACTTTGTTGCTTTTTCAGAAAAGTGTGGGCAGCAGCTTTACGGTGGCTACTTTTTTTGGGGGGGGAGTTCACAATTGTGGCACTGGAGAACATGTCCCAGTCAAAGTCCATTTAACCATTATATGTGATATAAAAACTAATACATGTAAAAGTCAACAACAGTATAAGCTCTTTTACTAAATTCCACCTATGTGTGTGTTAGCTGAGATAATCTCGTCTGGTTGGCAAACTTTGTTAGCATAGATCAAACACTGAGCCACGCGCCATCATTTCCTTACATTAAACGGCAACGCTTAGAAACTTTACGGCTCCTTTCCAAACACATTCACACATTAATTCCCATGTCTTTTCTCATTATAGTAAGTGAAACAAAACTGCTTTGCTATGTCGCATTAACGGATTCCTTCATGAATGCGTAATGACGTCTAAGCAGAAACAGGATGCAGAACGTAGTCTGCCGCAGCGCACACATTAACGAACAGCTAACCGCTTTGCCGACGTGAAAATGAAACGGTACTTACTTTGGCGTTTTGTTTATTGGAGAACAGAGAAATTCGGTAATTTTCGGGGAAATAAATGTAGTTTCTTTCCTCTCCTCCTCCGTAGTCCGGGTTCTGGAGATCCGGCTGTAAACCTAACGGTTCTTAACGGTGTGTGTCCAGCCGGCTGGTTGAGCTCAGAAAGGTGCAACCGCTCAAGATCCGGGCAGGTCTTTTCATGTTTTCATGGAGTATAAAAGTCAGGGTTGTTTTTTTTCTCTCTCTCTCTCTCTCTCTCTCTGCGGACTGGGGAAAAACTAGAAACCTGCTTTCATAGTGGGAGATACGCGAGGAGCTCCGATGAGAGTGGTCGGATTTTCTTCCAGCAAACGTCCAGGCTGTTCTGTCCCTCGTCGTGTCCCTGCTAATTTCATCCCCCCCCCCCTCCCTCTCTCGTGTGCGGTGTCTGCGTGGGCGTATTATCCGGACAGATGTGCGGGTCGGGCCTGCTGGAGAGAGAAGTGACTGGGATCCGGGCAAACAGAAGGAGGAGTGAGAAGGGGATAACGGGGAGGGAGGGACGCAAATGACGTCCGAGCACGAGGGAACACTTGGCTGACATGTTCGCGTTTTGTTTCCACACCGAGGAAAGTTTTACCTCACTTCTCTGCACCAGTTACTCACTGGTTCCAAGCCATGGTCATTTTACTGTATTTCGGGGTTTTTGTCACTACTTTATAAATTATTTCCTAACTAAACAATGTACTATTAAACCGTATGACTTTTATAAATGAACTGAAGAGATGTCTTTTTACTTTAATAGCTTGTTTCCCAGATATTTTAAATAAGATTCATTCTTGAGTCGACTTTTAAATTAGCTTTCATTAGGAGTTAAATATAGATCCTAAATTAGCTTATTTGATTATAAAATAATTAAAAACATGCCATTCTTTTTTGCTTTTCATAAGTAGCATAACGTGAAATGTTTTTGCAATTTCTAGGTGAAGAACTTTACTTATTGCCATGGTTTGAACAAATCAATACAATGAAATTTGTTGGCAGAAGTGTCAGACAACACTCTTCCTTGAGCAAAATTGCTCAAAGAATGAACATTTACAGTTAAATAAGCAGACGTAGTTAAAAAGCTAAATTATTATATATTAAAGGTCAATGAATTTGTATTAATTCATTATAGTTTCCTTTAATAATTCCATAGGACCTTTGGTTTTGTTTATGCCGTACCCATCTGCATATAGGTAACAGTTTCCTTTTTGGGGGGTTTTGTTTTCCAAACTACTTGAAACATGTTTCATGACCAACAGTGGGTGAAATATGTTAGAAATTGATCTGATTGTGTCATAAATAAAATTCATTTTCAATAACCTTTTCTAATTTTCCATTTCATTCAAGTCCACTTTTATTTCAGTGATGGTACAGAATTATGCTGCGACACCCATTTAAATGTTTGCCATTACAGATCAAGGATGTTTCAGCTTTAGCTGCTCCTTTTACCAACTAAAGCTCTTTTCCCTGTGACCTAAAATTGAAGCCCATGAAGGGTTGTTCAAAGTGCACAGTGACATAAGGTCTACATACAGTGCAGCTTGTAAAATAGCTTTCCCAGATACACATTCGGTTCAGTAGGACAAGCTACGTTAAGCTGCTGTTGCATCATATCTGAGCAGAGACTCGATGTTCCTTAGACTGTTTTATTATGCTGTTATTTATTTCCTTTTCCTCCAAGTAAACAGATAAAACAGTCATTGTTTGATTTCTACTTTGGACTTGGCACAGAGCTGTAAATATGAACTGGTCAGTGAAAGTATGAATTCAGAAAATGCTTTCCTTGCGGACAACAACTTATTCCAGTGTCCCATTGATATTTTATACTTAAAAAGCAGCTGCACAGCAGAGTTTATATTTATTGCTAAACACATGCATCACAAATAGATAAAAAAGTGTGTGCACTGGGATGATGCAACTTAATTCATCTGCAGCTCTCAGTTACAACAACATCATTTGGCTTGCACCCAGTTATTCAGGTCTTTGTTTCTTAAACTGAGGCAAACTGAGATAAGCTTATCCAGGGAAATAAACAGTAGTTTCTATCTTGGTAAGAAGGTAATTAACTCCAATAGTGTTCTCGGAGATAAAGCAAGTGCAGTGTGTAATTTTGCTGATAAACAGTTTGTTATAAATTAGTTCAGAAGATTAGATGCAAACCTCTTAATTAGTGCACTCAAGGTACGCCCCCTTCTGGTCACAAACGTCACATACAGTTGAAAAAAAAAATAAATCCCCCCTCCATGATTTTTGCCAAAAACACAAACAGACACGAACGACAGCAGGCCATTTAGTATGATACCTTTTATTTAAACTTAAAAAGAGTGGATCAAAAAACAGGATTCAATAAATAAGAAATAAATATAATTGCTGTAATAGTTAATAGATACATTATAATTACTCGATTGTAAGAGTCTGACAGAAACAGGCTCTCAAAAGTTTTTCTCTAGAAAATCCTAAAACCAAAATATTGCATTGCCACTCAAACATTTTCTCCCGATAAACAAAATAATTGTTAAATTAGTAAATAAATAAATAAAAAATAGCTCAATTATTAAAACCTCCCGAATAAAAGTGCAACCCCGCCCCCTCCCCTGTGTTTCACCTAAAATCTAAGTAGAAATTTAAAATAGGTTTGTGATTTCCCCATTTTACAATTTGGAATGTAATAGCTTTCTCATGAAGAATGATGATGTCACTAGTTGTATTAATAATAAGAATAATAATGATAATAATAGTTATGTTGCAGTGTTCTGTTCAGTGTTTTATCTAAAGTAGTATTCTTTTTTGCATGTTTTCTTGTTTTTTTTAAATGCTGCTCTTTGTAAACTAAACTATATACAGCTCATTAGGATCCTTTCCAAAGTCTTGCTAGCCTACTCATTTAGCCATCTTTTTTTCTGTATTTTCTTTCTTTTTTATTATGAAACAACGATCCCTCTATATTTGTCACGTAATAGACATGGAATAGACATGTTAAAGTCTACTGAAGTGATATATCATTGTTTTTTTTATCAGTGCCTTTCCTACACATGTGGTCTGAGTTCTCTTAGTTGTACTAAATACCCTTTTCCATACAGACTGTGGTCAAACCAAGCATTTGGCTGTACGGATACGTAATTTTTGTTAACTGTGTGTGTGTGTGTTTTGAGTGAGTGTCAGCAGGCATGTGTTTGTTTGTTTTTTGTGCATTTTATATACATTTCAGCTTTGAGGTTCACAATTAAGGGTATCTCTGCGTATGTCAGTGTGTGTTTGTGTGGCAGCTCTCCGCAGACGCTCACAGGTAGAAGACAGTCTGAAAGCACAATGAACCCTGGGACTTCACCTTCAGTTGGACTCTGAGAGGTCGCCTGCGAGAGGAGTTGGAGGGTAGAGGGAGTGGCAAACGAACGAGAGGAGAGGAAAAGAGAGAAAAAAATAAAAGATTTTGTTAAAATTTGTAGGGAAACTGGAGCTCTGCGTGGGTTTCTGAGCTTCACATTTTTGTCAAACATGCCCCATCCATCCAACAAAGACTCCTGTCTGGGACTCACTGGAGCTACTGACAAACTTGCTGCTCCCCTTTGTACCTTTGGACGCTCCTAGCTTTTTTTTAAATTTCAGTCTCGGAGCATCATTGGCAGATGTCAACATAATTCAATCACGGTGCTTTTACATATATACATACAGTGTCTGGTCAGATCATGCAGTTAATTACAGTAAGTCACTGGTATGCATCCTAGTATGACTGCAACTGTGTGTCTCAAAGGAAAGCATGTGTGTGTCTGTGTGTGTCTGTGTGCGCTCATGAAACTCTGGGAACTCGCATTTATGTGTTTTCAGCATGTGCTGCACTTAGGTGCCCCGGATCATGGCAAGCAAACACTACCAACAACATGCATCACTCTCTGGCATTAGCAGTATAGAAATTCTGGGTGACAATTTAAGTAGAAAAAAAAATGCTCTAACTGCAGGTTTCATTGCCTTAATTATTTTCACTGTCTATATATTCATTTATAGAAGCCTTTTAATCATTAAATATATAAAGCCTTGCAAAAATACTCACACCCGAGGAACATTGTAAAACAGTCGAGACACTGAGTTCCTTCATAAGTGAAATACTAACCGATGTTTTGATGACAGCACTTGGTAAAATGTAATGTTTCAATTGTTGATTTTTGAGTTTTCATGATGTAAAACACTTTGAACTACCTTATTTAATTGTGCTTCAAAAAGAAAATTTGGTTTGATTAATTTGATTGTCACATTTTCTGATGTTACAACCACAAACCTTATTTTTTTACTGGGATGTCAAGTGGCAGATCAGCACCAAATAGTGAACATTTGTGTTATTTTTCATAAAAAAAAAAACAAAAAACATCTGAACAAGTGTGGTGAGCATCGCTATATTTATACTTATATACATTAGACATATACTATACTCTGCATTAATTTAGAAGTATGTCTCCACCAGATTTGCACTAGATCTGGACTTTGTTCGGTCATCCAAACACATGAATATGCACTGATTTAAACCACCATAACTTGGACTGCATTTGCCCCGGTCTCAAATCTTTTGATGCCTTTATCTGTTTTTTTCCCCCCCAGGATTGACCTTTAATTAGCTTCATTCATCTTCCAATGAACACTGACCAGCTTCCCTGCCCCTGCTGAAACATGACGCTGTCCTAGTGAAGGGATGAAGTACAGTGATAGTTTCTTTTTACCAACCATACCAGTGTTAGTTTTAACCATGGCAGCTGTGCAATTTTTAGATCATGGATTAAAAAATTCTCTCCAAGTTGTTCAAAGCGGTTTTAAAACAACCCACAACTTTACCCCTAACTTCTCTGTTGTGTTTCTCAGACTTCATGATGCGTTTTGTTCACTAATCTTTTCTAAGAAAACTCTGAGGCCTCCACAGAACATCTGGATTTACAGGAAAATTAAATTACAAACAGGTGGACTCAAATAACTAATTGGAGCAAAAGCATCAGGTTGCACTCTAGGGGTATGAGAGTTAAAAGCAGTTCGATATAACTGAAAGTCCCACTTTTCACATTTTTATTTGTAAAGATTTTTTTTAGAAACTATGTATTGTTGCCCTTCCTCTTCATAATTAAGCACTACATTGTGTTTTGGGCTGCAATGTGGTAAATTGTGCAAGACTTCTGAGTGTGTGGTTACTTTTGCAAGGCACTGCATGTTACACAAAGTTTTTAAAAAAGTAAAAGTGAAAATCCTTTTGATGCCTCCACACTCTGATCTGACAGCAGCCATGTTGAAGTTTTTAACTCTCTTAAATAAATAAAAAAAAACTCTCCCAGAATTCCTATATTTGAAGGCTGTTCTCCAATGAGCAAGAGGCACTTGTTCTTCCACCATGACAACATCATACCCTTCACCCCAAAACACAAGTCAGAAGGAATAGTATAATGAGGTTGAGATGAAAGAAGCAGATCAACACTTGAAGGAGAGAAAAATGTGGAGAAGGAGAAGATAAGAGAGACAGAAAAAGAGCAGGAGCAGTGATAAAAGATGTAAAGAAGTCTCAGAGAAAAATGGAGGAGCAGGAAAACTAAAGTGCAGCATCACAGTGTAAAAAAGTCACAATCCAAGATTATGAACTCAGCCTATCAGAGTACAGCTCAACAAAATGCATGCTCGCCCATGAATACAGAGCGCTGCAGCAAACAAAAAGGTAACTTGATCTAATTCTTCTTGTTTATGTATATATATCCCATGCGTTGGATCAGTTTGCAGCCACATTCTGGAGTTATGCATACCATAAACATGTCATGTCCTCTTGTCCATCACGGCCTGCCATTTTATGCAGCAACATCCTAAAACATGTATTTTTCCCCTATCAAAGCATCATTCTTGCTCCCTGTGTTGTTGCTGTGCTCGTCTCCACCAGTTTGTTATGGAAAACTATGGACACCTCAATGCAGAAGGCAATGCAACGAAGATTATTCAGTCCTGCATTACACGCTAACAGTGTAACACAGAAACATATGCACACATAGATGTCCACGCTCACTATTTTACCCAAACAATTTGTTCAAATAATAATAATAATAATAATAATAATAATAATAATGACACCAAACAGAACACTACAGAAACTGATCAAAAACAAAGCTGCAAAAAAATAACAAGCTTTGCTACAGAATTTATCAGATAGATTACTATAAAGTGATTAAGTGTATCAAATATCCAATCAGATCAGTTGAATCAGTTGAGTGCAGTCCTGGCTATAGATAGTTATTGATCAGTATGTGCACAGGTCAATACAAAATAAAGTCACAATGCACCAAACACAGTCTGTGATCACTACAGCAACAGGACATGCAGGTCAACGCATGGCTGGTTGCTCGAGGTGACAGAACCAACACAGGCAATAAAATCGCCACAGCAACCCAAACACAGGCCAACCAATCAACTTACAACAATGTGAGAGGAAGGGGGGATCAGGGCTTTATCGGTCACTAGGCAACCATTGCCATAGCGATGGGGTCCTCGTGAAATATGATTGGACGGGAGGATCTTGGGTGAGGTAAGTTGCCGTTTCGGGAAAAGATCAAAACAGCAGGGAAGAAATAAGATTGTGAAAGAAAATAAAAAAAGGAAAACAATATCTCATTATTTTNAAGCTCCTATATCTTGCTGAAAAGTTACTTATAAGTTAGTTTTGTCTTATTTCAAGTGTTCAAGATATTTGCCCTAGAAACTAGCCAAAAATACTTGGTAAGAGTTTGTGTTTTTGCATTGCAAAAGGTATTTATTTTTAAGTCATACATCTATTTATGTAGAAATGAAAGAACATTTTGAATAATAAATGTGGCCCCGTTTATTCTCGAGCAAGAACAACCTGTATTAGATCAAAACTAAAACATTAAGATTGCCTCATAAAAACCTCTAATTAGCCAGTATAATATCTTGAGTTGGATTTTGTGGCTATAAATGCAGCATATTAATTTCATACATTAATATAGGTCACTAAAGCCAGCAAGTTATAGTGGGAAATTATGAATCTGCAGCCTTTTCCTGCTGCTATCCCTCATTGCTTCAGCAGCTTTGTGTGGCACAGATAACCCGCCATACCCGGACATGTCAAAGAAGGCCGAGGCATGTGTAGACTCATGAGACCAAACCCAGAAGGTTTGTGGCAGACAGGCTTAATGCATACCGAAGCTGCGGTTACACACACACACACACACCTCACCCTTTTCTGTCTTCTTCGTGCCTGACCTGAATATTTCAATTCGAAATTACAGAAAAGTGTAGTTTTTTTTTCTTAAATGGCAAGATATGAGGACGTATTTACGCAAATATTTCTAAATTCAATAAAATGTTTCTGTTTTAATTTCGGAATACAAACAAAGTTCCCCTATTTTGATTTCATGTAGATTTCCACAATACCTCTCCAGTCCCTCAGGGGGCGCCAAAGCTCTCTAAGGAATCATACTTATGTGTTTATCCATACTCTCAAATTATTTTTCTTTGGGATAAGATAAACATAAAAGTTCCACAACATATATATTTTTTTCTAAATTGTACTTTATTTTCTTTTAAAGACATATGTTTTAAAACAGCAATTGTAGAGAATAAATAAAGAAAAATGTTTTTTTGTTACTTCCATAGGTACATTTATGCAATTAAAAACTCTATAATAATTGTGTTCATTGCTGTAAAGACCACAGGAATCTTCTCTTTCCCCCTCCCCCTCTTCATAAATAAAAAAAGAAAGAAACTTTCACATCACCCCCGCAATCGAATGGATTACCAAATAAATTAAACGTAAAAAATCAAGATAGAAAAATTCCCAGCCCTTCCTTCCGTTTTGTTTTATTTTTAAACGTAGTGGCAGCAGAGAGTGTTACTTTGAGAAGTTTTTAAGTCCTCCATTTTTAAACCAAGGTATATACAGCGAGAGGAAATCCATGTCGCTTCCACTTTTAACCACTCCATGTTTTTACTTTACTTATAATTAATAAAACTAACTCTACATAACAATATTACCAATGGCAATCATACAGAATAGTATTTTCTTCTGTCGCCGACTGTGTAGACTGGCCTTTTCTTGGCGCCATAGACCACAAATCACACTATACATTAGAACCCTGTTCAGTAGAATAACATCATTGATATGCTTTTTTTTTTCTTAACATGTATATCTTGTTGCCGACGATAGAGTATATACATAATATAAATGGATCCAGCTGTGGAATGATAGGAACTCTGGAGCACTTCGGATACTGTGTGGATGCGGAGTCTGTCGATGAGTTTGTTGCTGGCTTTACAGCGGTTAATGTTGTTTCTGTAAGCACAAACACGGGATACTGCTTGTTGTGAAGTGTTGCTCCTGTGCTATACGGTTGGTCAAAACAACCAAACAAGGCTGGGACGTCCCCCAAGTGGTTTTCTTGATTGACTTCTTACGTTGTCCTGAAAATTAAGAAGAAGAAGGAGGAGGAGGAGGATTTTGTTAAACCAAATCACAAAAATCAATCATTGTATTTTTTTTTTTTTTAAGATTAGAAATCTTGCAATACACACGGGACAGTCATTCTGCTGCAAATGTGCTCACAATCTTAATCATCTCATCTCCTAAGCAAGGCAGCTTATTTCAACACATGCAGGGTAGGAATTCTGGTAGGAATCAGCTCTTCACAGTTTAGAAAATTGCCCAATATAGATTATTATAGCTCAAATTATGTTGTACTGTTATCATCAGTTTACACTGAACATCTCCAACAGTCCGTGATAGAGGATGTCTCAAAAACAAGATTAGTTTTCACTCCAATCATGGGACTAATTCAGGATTAAAGCAGCATGAGTAGATAAAGCAGAACAAATATTTAAACCCTTTGAGAAACACTGATCCTTTCACTTTTATATGCATACAAGATAAAAATATTACACATGAATATGCTAACAAAATTAATACAGGGTAGTTGTAATCTGAACAAATGGTTCTTCCTGAACCAAGATGTAGAAAATTTAACATGTCAGGAGTCTGGACCGCTTATTAAACTTAAGTTTGTTGTTGCCGAGTCTCTGAGGAGTTGTGATGAGCCTCATTTATCCTGCTAAATGTTCTTGTTCCGCATCAATTCAGAATTTAAATATAGTAAATTTAGAGCAAAATCAGAATCTTGAAAAACAAAAGGATTTCATAAAATCGAACCGATAGAAGATTGAAAGAAAAGGTTTGGCAAATTAAAGACGATGGATGTCAATTAAATGTAAATAATTGTAACGACAGCATTTACTCTTTGAAATTAAACAAAACTTTTAGATAACTAAAAAATTAATGAAATCAAATGTCTTTTCAATTCTGCATTCCCGTATTTATTCAGACGTGCTACGAGTTTCTACAGATTTTTTATATGCAATAATTCCAAAGTTTTCCAGACACAACTTCACAGAATTAAGCTTACAATATAAAATAAAGTTCAAAATTTACTAAAAATGAAATGACGAATGAATGCAGGCTACAAGAAAGGAAGAAAAGGATGGATAAACACAAAGAAAGAAAAACATGAGAAAGGAATGACAGAAGAAAGTGAAAACGAAAAAGAAAAGGACACGAGCAAAGGAGGGAGGAAGAAACTGAAAGAAGCGCACAAGGAAAAATATAATGAAGGACTGAACACTGCCTGCAAAAACTAAAACCTTACCAAGTTGGTCTAGTTTTAGTGCAAATATCTTAATACGCTTAAAACAAAAAACAAAATCAGACGTAACCTTTCAGAAAGATAAAAAGGCTCGTTTTACATTAATGTTGATTAAGAAGTACGAGCTCCACTGGAAGATTATTTCTCTTATAACATGGGAAAAAATATTGTTATAAGTGAAATACTCCACAAGTCAAGACAAGTACTTTGTCATCAATATTAAGGGATTATTTACTCAAAACAAACTCTTATATCTTGCTGAAAAGTTGCTTCTTCGTTTTGTTTCATTTCAAGCGTACCAAGATAACTGGACAAAGAACTAGACCAAAATTACTTAGTAAGATTTTTTTTTTTTGCAGTGAAGAGAGAATAAAACGAAGTGAGGATGGAGGGATGAAGAAAGGAAGAACACAAAAAAGGAGAAGGGAAGGCAAAAAGAAATGTAAAAGGGAGAGGAAGGCTACAAAGATGGAGAGACATAAGCAAGGACACAAGAAGATAAAGCAAAATATAAATGTTTTTTTTTTTTTTTTCACACTTTGCCAAACACTGAAAACGCAGAAATTGATTTCCATACTCTTTATGGCTGCTACGTTTCAGAGCGCCTAAAATAGTGGTATCAGTGTCACCATACGATCACAGGCTCACACCGACCCGGTGCCTATTTTTAGCGTGTATGACTTATGATTTCTTATTCATTTGGAGCCCCAGAATTCCTACAGAGGAATGCAGCTTTTCAGCCAGCAGCACAGAAACCAAACAGCTTCACCTGAAACCTCCTAAAACCAGGTCAACACCTCACAGCACATCCACACACTCATATGAACAGCAGGAGTGCTTTTTCCACATCTATCAAATATATATATGAAACAAAAAACAACATGACCACATTTAGGTTTGATTTCACACACAAACACTAAGCTCTGAACCACCTTACAGGGTCACATTTAGGACATTTTAAGTCGTACGGAAACCCAACGAAGCTCAGGCACAAAAAAAAAAGTCACTTGGAAATAAGTTACACCAAGACCAACAAAATCCAGCACAACTACCACACTAAAACAGAAAGGAGATGTAAGAATGATAATCATGACAGACGAAATAAAACTATTAAAAACCAAAAAAAATAAAAAAAAAATGTTTGGAGAGAAAATCTAAAAGCTTTATATTTGATACCTAATGTTTTTTTTTTAACAAAAAAAAAAAATGTCATGATAATCAGTTACTTACAGATGCTTAGGTAAAGTGACATTTATCAATCAGTATTTTGCAAGGATATAAAATCAAAATATATCAGGACAAAAATAATTTTAAAAGGAAACTCACAACGCACCAAACACAGTTCACGGTCGCCACTGTAACCCGCCATGCGGTTCAGCATGGCGAATCAAGGCAACGGCCCAAAAATAACAAGAATTAAACAAAACTGCTAATGGCAACCATCACAGGCAATATCGCCACAGCAACCAACACAGGCCATTAAACTTACGACGCTCTGAGAAGGAAGGGGGCGGGGTTTAGCGACGAACGTCTCCATGATATACGTTTGGCGGTACAGTCTTGAGAGTGTTTGTTTTTTTTTTACAACTTTTTTTTTGTTTGTTTTTGCAGGAAAAAATTGCACGTCGCACAGCACAAAAACAATAAATAACAAAAATAAAAGAAAAAATTAATGATGGACAGCTGTTAACATTCAACCCTGTGACAGAACAGCGGTTAGACAGAACATTTAAAACAGAGTGAAAATCTCACTTTCTGCATCTTTCACACATCAAAGGTATCCTCTAGATGTTTTCAAGGTGATGCCCACACCATTAAAGTTAATCTACTCAGTTGTCATTGACTTCCTGCAGTATTTGAAGTGTGGGCTCCAAATTACAGCCACTTTGTATCCCTAATTCTCCCCACTCTCATTTCCAGCTGTCACTCAGCCACTGCCAGTCTTTGCGAAGACATTGATTTG